GTGAGCTATAATACAGGTTCTATTGCATAGTACGGTCTCCAGTCTCTCACAAGGAATACAACTTTTAAAATTGTTAGTCTATTATAAAATAAATGTATATTTATTTCCTTGTGTTGAGAAAATAAACCATTGCTATTATTTATTATTATTGTTTATTATAGTATAAAAAAGCTCATATTAAAATTCAAATTAAATTTTGCAAAAAAACATTACCCTCCGCTTGAGGTCAAACCATTAAGCTGCCACGGCTTACACTCATCTTACACTGACGACGCGTACCACATCAGTAGGGCTGGCATAACAGGGCGCCACTTGCTACCACATCAATAGGGCTAGATCAACAGGGCGCGACTCGTGTGAGAGCGAGAGACACTGCTGTTCTCGCAGAGAGATCCCGCGCAAAAAGCGCCCTGTCGTGCTAACCCTACATAAAATACAAACAGATCACTGGCTTGTCCGAAAAGGATAAGGTGATGACCGAAGTAACTATGTCACCTCCTTTGAAACCTTTGAAATTGTCACCTTCTCCTAGATTCCATTCTTTTAGAGGCAGCTTTCGTTTTGCGGCAACTAAGTGTTGGAACGATCTTCCGCCGCCAGTAAAAATATATAAAGCGTCATATACTTTCAAGTGTAAGTTCAAGGAATGGCTGCTTAATCTACAGAAGACATCATACTATTGGTCGAAAGTGATGTAGGCTCTGTTACGTCATTAGAAATAATATAATCTCAGTACAGAGTACTAAAAAAAACCGACCTCAAAAGTACGTGGAATTACGTCTATTTGCTAAGTTTCATTGAAATATCCCCTAGTTCGCCACTATACAGGACTTGATACTGGAGATAATATGTACAAATAGGTTCTCACTACGACACTACTCAAGGTATATCGAGAGAAAAACGCCTTGAATTAGAGAAATAGCAAAATCAACTAAATAATTACTAAAAGTAATTGCTCCTAAATTAAAGTTAGGCGCTATTTATAAAAATGAATCTTCATGCGTGAACAGCCACCCTTTGAGGTGAATTATTTTCTTCAAAATGAAATGGGACTACTATGGAAATACCCCCTTTCCAACAAAAAAAGAATCATGTAAATCGGTTCACAAATACCGGAGTTATCGCGTAACATACGTACAAAAAAAAAAAACATACCGTCGAATTGAGAACCTCCTCCTTTTTTGAAGTCGGTTAAAAAGTAAAATTACAATTGGAATCATTGATTGGAATTAAAAATGTAGTAACTCTATATTTTTCTAAATTCCATTCTCTGCTTGTTGTATTCTATATACACAGTGAAATACTTTTTGCTGCTAATTGCAGTATGTTCGGTGGTCGGGACGTATGTCGTTTTCAGTTTTAAGGTTTGTTATTTCTGTAGTCAACGTACGTAGTACGTACGTAAGTGTGGTACCCTCCTATTTATATATATATATATATATATATATTCGAAAAGATACCCGTCTCTATATGCCACGGTGTCTCCAGTGGCGAATACTTGCCAGGTGAAGCCTGGAAACCAGCAAATTGCTGAGGCTTGTTCCTTTTCTTCGACATAGATTTAAGGATTGTTTTATCTTAAATATTGTTGTATGTTTTCTGTTGAAGAATAAAGTCTTTTTATTTTATTTTATTTTATTTTTGTGAGCATTGGGTACTTGGCACAGTCATGGTGACATGCTTCATATATTCAAGTACAAAGGGATCACTGCCAACTAATGACAGAGTCCTCCTTGACATAATCTTATAGCTTTGCGTGCAATGGTTAAGTAGGAAACTGCGATTGGCGTTTCAATAATATTAACGGTGATTATTCGATAATAAAACAAAAAAAAATAATCATTCTCATTTGATCAAAGACATTAGACACAAGTTTTTAGAAATATACCCGTCCGCATTGACATACAATTATATGGACGTCGGGTCCGCGCTAAAAAGTGTCCGCACTTTTAAGGCGCTAAAATCGTATACAGAGCGCGACACTCCGCTTTAGTCTTCATTTGTTCTACTGACAGCGCGATACTGCGATGACATTACAATTTAAATTTCGAATAGGTTGACTTGGGACATTTTTTTCGTGGTTTTTGTATTAGACCCGTCGTCCATTTATTTGTAAGTCAATGCCCGTCCGTAATAATACATCGTCCGTATTATTGCAATTGATTATTATACGGGAACTGTATACGTTTTTACAATAAGATTCCGGAGCATATATTAAGATTATCATTTCCTAAGTTTAAAACTTTCATTAAAAGTATTTTGATTAAAAAGTCATATTGCAAAATTGAAGTCACGTGTTAGATTGAGATGTATGGAAAAACGATATGGCTCTAGATTTCACTGAAATTTTATTCAAAGCGTATTCGCATAGCGCATTTAAGTTTATTTGAAAGGAGCAACCCCTAGAGTTTCTTGCTCGTTATTCGTACCTATTTGTCAAACTTCAGAAAATAATTTTAGCTCGATATATATTTGAAAAATATTACAAGGAAAAAAACTGACTCTTATATTTCATATTAAAGAGGATTTTATTGATATCCACGGCAATATACAAAAATAATTACAACAAATTAACAAAAAATATGTTATTTTGTTGCAAAAGACAGTGTTATTGGCCGTATAATATAGTACCTATTTCAAATTATTTTAAGACATACAAACTATAGTTTCTTTAATTTATAGATTATTTGTAACGGTAAAAATATAATTAATCTTGGTACATCTTTTTTTTTATTCTGGCTACGCCAATGATAGCTAACATTCATACAGCTATACATATACATATAATACATAAGCACTGCCGACTATAGTTCCGCGAGACTTCTATAATCTAATAGTAATGTAAAATACAACATTTTAACGAGATTTCCGAGATGAGATTTGTGTGTTTGTTGATAACGAGAATGAGATTTGTCTTTTATGGATTCCTGTGGGCCAATCTTAATGGATAAAATAAATCCATGCATATTCACTAGTATCCACGGATCAGCTCAATAATATATTTGAAAAAGTTGTTTTTGTCCGAAGAAATCCCACACTCTTCAGCAAACGGATGGTACACTAAGTCACAATCAATTGAAATATAATTTTTTACACCAACCTCGTTACCATAAAGTAATTTATAAGAATAACTGCTTCAACGTCTTTATATTTAATTTTAACGTTACCAAATTAAATTCAATTGTCACAAGGTTAGGCTTAAATTACCATTGACAAAACAGCTTTTAACACATTGCTACTGTTTTTGTAATGCGCGTGCAATTCGCGTCATGGGACGCGCTTTGCTAAATATGCTAAAAACAAGCCTGCGCATGCATCTACGCCACGGGAGACTTCACGGGCACATATTACTCGAATCACGCGCGTGTTAATGTTCTAAAAATGGACTGCACGTGGTTAACCACACTTGTGTTCCGACCCTGGCAGTGTAGGTACACCCTAAGACCCTAAAATCTAACAGCGTCTCTTGTGCAAATGTACTCAACTAACAAAAATGGACTTCGGCAGATACATTGAAACCATGGCCAAAAATACAGCAAGGAAATTTGGCATTCCTTCCAGGGTGAGGCGTTACTTTATACCGGGACAGATGTTTCATCTGTTCCAAGCACAAGTCCGGTCGTGCATGGAGTACTGCTACCTACTTTCTACTACTACCTTTGGGATGGGTCTGCCCTGTATGTAGGCAGTTACCAACTAACTGGCTACCTTGAGTTTAATTGACAAGCGTGCCAACAGGCTTATAGATGACTCGGAATTAGTAGAGACGAGGGTTGTGATTATACTGTTTGCTAGTTCTTACTGCAGTTGCGCATAACTTTAGTCACACCTCACCGAATTCAAGGTCTAATAGGTCTCTAACAGTATATAATAAAGTTCTCTGTGCAGCACATCACAAACTCTAGTGTTAGCGGCAGTGCACGCTGCTTTCCCGCCTACATTCTAAATTGAAAAATGCTGTCTTTAAGGTTGTTTCAGTTAGCAGTCGTCACTGCTCTAGCGGTCGCTCAGCACGACGAAAAACCGATAGTGAAAATCGCACATGGAGTTGTGCAAGGAACTTGGAAGATTTCTGCCAGCGGAAGGACCTATGGAAGCTTCGAGGGTGTCCCGTACGCATCGCCACCGTTGGGGAAATATAGATTCAGGGTAAGTTACTACTGATTACACTCAAACGATACTCAATGCCAAAATAAATTGTCCCGACAGATTTTCTCGAAGTTTATTCGGTACTCTTCTTCTTATCGTATCGATAGCATACACTGTTGTGCTTGATATCGTCGTGAATGAATTTGCCAGTCGGCGGAGGGTTACTCGCCTATTGTTGCCCAGGATACGCCAGTTGTTTTGAAAGCCAATGGCACGTCCTACTGGGAGACTCCTTTCGTTCACCCCATATTTCGGCATTTTGCTTATTTTCTGCTGTCACTCCGTAAAACTGAAAACAATGTAATGCTATCAATATTCAATGAAGACTGTTATGGAACAAACGTCAGAATACTAAAATCAAATGGTTTTGTATAGTAATGACCAAACATTAAGCTTTATCATCTTTATCCTTCTTCTGATTATTTTAATATTTAAGAATAAAAACTACAATTTACAAACTAAGGTCACTTGTTTACTAAACTTTCTTATAGTCATTTGACCTAACAAAAATTAAGTCTGATTCATTACGCCAACTAAGCAAGATGTTTAAAAACTTTATCAAGATTAAACCGTTTTTATTACAGAAGAAAGGCCTTTAATAAAATTTAATAAAAATTATGATAATTTTCGGAAAGACAACAGTTTGATTGTTCAGCCTTCACTTTTTCACTCATTTGAGTATTGTCATTGAAAATGTAGATGTAACACTAAATGCGGCGTTAACATAGCGACGAGGGAGTAAAATTTCATCGTTCTACGGCATAAACTCATTTTGTTAATTTTTTGAATTAGGACACTTTCATTCTAGATATTTGATAATGACCACAATTAAAAACGACCACTTCTCGTTGCGTTATTTTAAGTTTTGTTAATTTAAGTTTTTAAGTTATTGCGATTGTTATATATTAGAAATGAACCTATTTTCGGACCTAAATCACATTTTTTTTATCAAATAATCCAATGTTCAATAAGTCCCATGATTACTTTAATCATCGATAATAACTATAAACAATCCGTTTCTTAATGCTACACATTTGTTATGAGTTGTGATGAATTGTGATGTTGAACATATAATAAACCTGTAAAGAGTTTTGAAGTACTAACACAGCAATCCGTATTTGTTGAAAGTTTTCTGCAATTGCGAATGAAGCTTTAAAATTACATAATGCGTTTGTATTAATAACAAATTGTATTGATAATGGAATTACGTTATTGCCAACAAATTCGAGGTTTGAGTTGCTATATCATCACATCTACATCTAACAATTCGAGATAAGCCATAAGCAATTGCAATGTTTAACTGCCTCTGTGCCCGAACGGCTACCGTGGGGTGCCGCGCAGAGGTCCCGGTTTCGATTCCCAGCCCGGGAGAAACATTCGTATGGCCCTCATTTATTTCTATCGTAAGTTTGGGTGTATTTGTGGTTGTCTATGTTTGTGTTCAGGGCACCCGTGATATAGGGTTTCCTGCGGGGCTATGAGTGTGCGTGTTGTTATTGGATCTTCGCTGCAAATGGAATAAATTTCCGTAGGTATAATTTATCGATTACTTTGACACGATTGGCGGTATTTGATGGTATTTTTTCCTCAACGGTGTTTATTTATTTATTTTCAAGGGATAACAAACAATTGTACATGATATGATTACATTTGTTGTGAGGTTAAATGACATATGTACACGTACAACCAACAACATTATCCACATATTATTAGTATTAAGGCAAAACTGAAACAAGTTAAAAGTAAACAAAGAAATTAGCTCAGGGCTTCATTAATAGCTTTTTAAATTTAGAAGCAGGTAAATACAATATGTAAATAATCATTAACACTAAACAAATCATTCTACTGAGAAAGAATACGACGTAGAGGAACTCGCTTGCCAGCATTTGTTCGGCAGCGCGCCATTTTAAACAGCGGGAGCGCGTACGTCATCGAACTCTCGTGGGTACACTGTATTTAATACTTTGCACAAGATCTGGACAGTCAATCAAATTGTGACAAAGTCTATGGAATGTTACAGCTTGAAGAAGCATTCGTCTATTATGAAGTGTTAGCATTCTATTTATTCACCCCAAAACTATTTTTGAGACACAAAATAAAAAAAAATCCTTTTTCCATTCATTTTGTTACTTATTATAATTAAGAATCTAAGCAAAAAATACGAGGTTTGGTGCGCAAGAGATTATGGCATCAGTAGAGCTCCTTGTGAAAGAGTTCGTCCAGGGAAGTACTACCACCTGACCTATTTCAACCGCCAAGCGCCAAGCAGTAATGTGAGCATTACTGCGTTCCGGTTTCGAAGGGTAAGATTGCTGATGAAATTACAGGCACATGGGACTTGTCAACCTGTCGCTTCCTACCAGGCGCACAACTTGTTCGCCCCGTCGCATGGTATTATGAAAAAAACACAGACACACAGACAAAGATTTCAAACTTATAATTCCTCTTTTCTTGTGTTATGGATAATGTGACCATGCGTCCCGCTTTAAGCGGGACAGTCCCGCTTTTAAGCTTCGTGTCCCGCTGTACCCAAAATTTTAAAAATGCTCCGCTCTGATAAAACAGGACACAATAAACTAAAAAAAAATGGCGTGAAAGCGTAGCTGCAAGTAAAACCTTGTCGCCCACACCTTTTATTTAGTTCTATGTGCGTCCGTACTCCATGTGTATTGGCAGGTAAGAATCATTGGCGTGATTTTTAGGTCTTTTTAAAAATTTTAACCGACTTCAAAAAAAGGAACAGGTTCTCAATTCGACTGTATGCTTTTTGTTTATGTGTTTTTTGTGTATGTATGTTACGTGATAGCTCCGTCATTTTTGAACCGAATTTGATAATTCTTTTTTGTTGGAAATAAGGTACCTCGGTAGTGGTTCCCTTTAAATTTAAAGAAAATATTCCACCTCTGAGGGTGGCAAACTACCTCATGCCCATGAATGACTTTTGAGGTCAGTTGTTTTAGTATTCTGTACTGACATTATTTTTAATCATTAAACATTTCGTAACTACCATAAACATGCGTTTTATTTTTAAAACAAAAATAAATTTACACGTGACCCGCTCTGGGGGCAAAAATAATGGTCACATCAGTTATGGGTTAGAAATAAATCAGCAAATATCCCCAAGTTGTGCATTAAGTTGCAATTTAACGCGTGAATGAAAGTTTATACTATTTTTAGGAACCTCAAGCTTTGGAGTCATGGCCAGGCTTGTGGGACGCTTCTCGACCTTCAGAACCTTGCCTGCAGTACAATCCATTGATAGAGAAAGTCATCGGTAAGAATAAATAGCATTACTTTGTGAAATGTAAGACATTTAAATAGCGTTAAGGGACTATAATACCTCTAATGGCTTTGGTTGACTCCGCATACCAGTGAAAGTGTTGATTGAATCAACACTTGAAATATATATTGAAAGGACTAAAATGAGCATATTTAATTTAAAATGCAATATTAAAAATTCTTAACTATTGCATTTAAATTAAATATTATACTTAAGTTTTTTATGGAATATTAGGCTTCTTAGGTTTTCGCGATTGTTACACATAGGAAATGAACTATTTTTCCGGATTTAAATCGCATATATACGCGATTTAAATCCGGAAAAATAGTTTCATTTCCTATGAATATTAGGCTGTTTCACCACAATGATATTCAATAGTTTTTTTGTAAAATTACTCCACTGGTTTGTTATAATTATTACAACAAAGATCGAACACTTAGAAAAAAATTCCTTCGATCCGGCTGCATTCGAACCAACGTCTTCTACCAAACCGTGTCAGACGCTATGCCAACTAAGCCACGGAAGGAACCGTATTTATATACTCTTTATTTTTCGTGCTCTATGATTTTACTGCTCAGAATAATAAACCCACAGAAATCTAAACAATTTAGATTTACGTGACTATCTCAAAATAAAATTATTTACGTAAAATGCACTTTTTGTGAATTACGATATGTACGGTTAAGTAGAAAAAAAAATCGATAAGATTCTTTTATTAAATAGGAGAGAAATTTTCATGTATCTACCGCGTAATCTACCGTGTACGGTTAATACCGCACATTAATACGAAATAAAATACGCGCTTGCACAAATATAACAATAAATACCATTTTAAAGATAAAAAAAAAACAATGTTCGCGTCTTGTTCTTGCTGCACAAACTATCTTGATTATAATGTTGATAAATAAAGAATCCTTGTTGATCTTAAAAATGGTATTTATTTCGTTTACTTGATTACAAAATAAAATACGCGCTTGCTCACGACAATGTCTTGATTGCAAATGTGTAGAAATTATAACTAAACATAAAAACATAATAATGCTGACGCTGTAAAATACTTAATGTGCGGTATTAACCATATACGGTAGATTACGTGGGAGGACTCGATACGTGAAAATTTCTCTCCTATTAATAAAAAAAACATCGATTTTTTTTCTTCGAAGAACTTTAATCCTCTCTTAGTTTGAGGATTCCACGTGTTACAAGTTGTTTACATTGTTGGCTTACACACTACATACCATCACACCTGCTTTCCACCGGGATAGGAAAATACCTCAAACTGCACTCTCTACGTTTCTTACGTCTCCTCATAGCATGTAATCGTTTATTCTAGGTACTTTTATGTTTCTTTTAAGTGTTTAATAGTTGTACAATTTTTACCACGGGAACTGTGAGTAAGCTTGTGCGTATAAATTTCAGCTGTTCAAATAAAACTTTTATATGTTTTCTCGACTAAATTTGTTGAACCGATTTTTTTATTGTACACTCGCCAGCACATCAAGCTACACATTGACGCATCTTGTTCCGTTGCACTGGAGGCGATTTTCGAACAAAAATGTGTAGTCTGATATGCCGTTGTCCGTACATTATTTTATGATAGGATTCCACGTATTAAAAGTTTACTATGACGAGTAAACACTAAAAAATTTACATACCTATGTTTTTTTAAAGTGCAATACTTCATATCATTTATTTTTTAACAATTTAATAATCTCAGTACAGAGTACTAAAAAAACCAACCTCAAACGTACGTGGCATTACGTCTATTTGCTAAATTTTATTGAAATATCCTTAAATTCGCCACTATACAGGACTTGACACTGGAGATAATAAAAAATCGGTTCTCACTACTCAAAGAATATTGAAAGAAAAACGCCTTAAATTGGAGAAATAGCAAAATCAACCATTAAAATAATTGCTCCTAAATTAAAGTTGGGCGCTATTTATAAAAATGAATATTCATGCGTGAACAGCCACCCTTAGAGGTGGATGATTGCCTTCAAAATGAAATGGGACCACTATGAAAGTACCCCCTTTCCAACCAAAAAATAATCATAAAAATCGGTTCACAAGTACCGGAGTTATCGCGTAACACACATACATACATAAAAAAAAAAATACAGTCCAATTGAGAACCCAATCCTTTTTTAAAGTCGATTAAAAAATAAACTAAATTTCGATAAATATAACATTGCACACAGTAAATAAACTGAAAACAGTACCTATACTGTATACAAATATAGTATTATGTTGATTTCCTATAATGTAAACTATTTTAATATTGATTGTAGTGAATTATATTAATAAATAATTATTAAGACAAAGATTGAACACAAAGAAAAATTCCTTAGACCTGACAGGATTCCAACCTGTGTCTTTTTTGCCAATCTAGGGTAACCGCTCTACCAACTGAGCTAAAGGTCCACTCTGCAGACCTTATGATTTTTAACAGACTTCAAAAAATGGAGGATGTTCTCAATTCAACAGAATTTTTTTTACTTATGTTACGCGATAACTCATTTGTGAACCGATTTTGATTATTCTCTTTTTGTTGATAAGAGGGTACCGCAGTATTGGTTCCATTTAAATTTAAAGGAAATATTCCACCTCTAAGGGTAGCAAACTAGGGGATTAATCCGTTTCGCGCACTTTCCGGTAATTTCAACAAAACTTGCCAAATAGATGTAGGTAATTCCAATAAACTTTTAAGGTTGGTTTTTTTTTTATAAAAAAGTTGTTTCGATACGTTTGTTACACATCTTGCGTTTGTGACGTTTTGTTATTGTTAATTATAACAAACAAGTGGAGTAATTTCACAAAAATAATTGATAATCATGTTAAAAACAATATTAATAAACCGACATCAATCTCTGGTAGCTGTAGATCACCTTGAAAAAAAAAACGTTGAGTGCAGCGAGTTTATAATCAGAAATAGAGACGAAATGTCATTTAATTCGTTTGAAAACTATTAATACTAATTGCCGATAAAATGTGAGTCCGTTTGTTTTGTAATTAGATGTTTTACTGTTTTTCCCACACCACCGAACCGCCCCCATCGTTAGAGATATCTTTATTACAATGAATACAGAATATTTTTGTAATATACGGAGACGTACAGCAGGTGAGTTGTTGGCGCTGTACTATTTCAGTTTTCTAATTTATGATTCCATCGCAAACGAGAGTCGATATTTAAAAGTTATATAAGGGCTATTTATCTAATAGGATGGATATCCCTTATTTCTTCTCTATCTTTGGTTATATACTCGATCCTTGAGTGGAAAAAAAACTTTCCTAGATTTGTCAAAGGTGCAGGCGCTACGGAAAAAAGCCGTTAAAACGAGGATCTGTTACAAACGCATATATATATATTCCTCACTCTGTAGCTCAGGCGGTAACATGGTTGCCCTGGATCGAATCGATCGAAATAACTTTTGTTTCTGTTCGATCTTTGTATTAATAATTGTAAGCCATTTTATTGTAAGGACGTATGCACAATACAATCTTTAGTATAATAATAGTAAGTCATTGTATTGTATAATTACGTAACTACATATTAAATGTTACCTTCTCCCACTCAGGTAGTGAAGACTGTCTTCGTGTAAACGTATACTCTCCCAAGCCGTACAAAGGAGCCGATCTGCCTGTTGTGATGTACATCCACGGAGGAGCCTTTATGTATGGTGCAGGCGATGTCTACAATCCTGTATATATCATGGATAGGGATCTAGTTGTAGTCACACTCAACTATCGATTGGGACCTCTGGGTGAGTAGATTTACTTCGCTGACATGTGTCTCGTTTAGGAGAGCCTTTAAGGCAGGCTTCGAGATTATCAAGATGTTTAATTTCTTTTATAATTAACATGATAATTATCCGGTATATCGCCTTACTTTCTCAAACTTGTATCTTATAAAGAGTTTTTAATCAGGAGATGGTAAAACTTTCCATTTATTATAAATTTAGATTTTAAGACTTTCGTGGTTATTCACTAAATGATTATCACTAGTATCAGGTTTCTTACCACGGTATGACTTCTTTTTATTTTCCCGATATTTCGGAACGGTTGCACGCTCCATGGTCACGGGTTGACTGGACGGCGGCAGATGACAGCTTTATGAGCAGACATATCTGTCTACCCTCTTGCGCTGTCGACGACTACCTTCATCGCGATTTGTTGTGGCGTTACCATTGTCACTCACTTTTTTCACACAAACCACACTCACTGTATCCACACGCGAAACTGAACTCGAGGTGTTTTTGTTTTTATTACTGCACGCACTAAGGACCGGATTCCATGCACTGGACAGTTTAAAACCATCATCACGGTTAAATGTTTTGTACTTCGTGATCTCGATGGCTTCTCGTACCAACCGTGGTATGTAGTGACGTTCTGTCGAGAGGCTATGGGGGCTGGGGGCTATGCAACTCGAACCAGTGGTTAGTGTCAGTCTGTGTGAGATGTTGTGCTATAGCCGACTTCTGTGCATCATTGTATAATAAAAAGAAGTCATACCGTGGTAAGAAACCTGATACTAGTGATAATCATTTATTATAAATTTCTTATCAAGGTCTTAATTTGGACCCATTACTTTAAGAATAGGTAAAAGCTAATGTGTAAATATAAAAGAAATGTAATGTGAAATCAACCCGCAAAATTTGTAAATGCAGTCCATTTTTTGCATTTCAGTACTTTGTGCTTTAAGATACCTACGAGTTTGAGAAAGTAGGCGACGATATGATATACGAGAAGGCGCCTGAGAGGAGGGTTGATCATGAATGATAAAATACATATATCCGATAATTATCCACGCTGATCTATATAATATATTTACATAGCATAGTTTTGTCTCTATTACAACAACTACCTCCGTGACCAAACGGTTACCATGCCGGACAGCCAAACAGAGGTCCTAGGTTCGATTCCCGGGCCGGGAGAAATATTTATTATGGCCTACATTTATTTCTCTCGTGAGTTTGGGTGTAATTTGTGGTTGTCTATGGGTGTGTCCATGGCACTCGCGACACAGGGTTTCCCTAGTGCGGGGTTATGTTGAGTGTGTGCGTTATTATTTTTTTTTTTTTTTCTAAAAATGACAAACAGTGAGAAAACGAAATAAATCCGAAGAAAAATCCTTGGAGAAACGATCTGGCTTGTGACTTTTTGAGATTCAAATTGGACACGTTTGAGTACATCTCGGATACAACATCATGGCACGACATTACTAGCATTTTGTTGTTCCACTTATTTTTTTTTTGAATATCAATAATCATGGCATATTTTTTTTATTGGTTACTAGGTGACGCGAAAAACAAGCGCCTGGTAGCAAGCGATACGCCTGTCCATAGCAGGTACAGTGCCACTCAGAGCTTTAAATCGTAAAGATCTGAGGGGCACTGCCACTGCGCCCGTAATCCTGAGACATAAGTTGATAAGTCCCATGTGCCTGTAATTTCATCAACACCGCTTCTTTTGAAAACCGGAACGCAGTAATGCTCACATTATCTACTTATATCTAAACTATCAGTAATGTAATTCTTACAATTTCCTAGGTTTTATTTACACTCTAGGTCTAGACATATTTCAGGCATTAGTGTAATCAGTGGCGTATTCAAAAATATCCCTTCTTACTCAATTTCTATTAATAATTCTTGCAGGATTCCTAAGCACAGGTGATGAAGTAGTCCCCGGCAACGCAGGACTGAAAGACCAATCGATGGCTTTGCACTGGATCCAGGACAATATCCTCATGTTCGGAGGCAACCCTGACAGTGTCACGATCACTGGTGGTTCCGCTGGAGGAGCTAGCGTGAATTATCATTATTTGTCGCCAATGTCTAAAGGTATTTATTCTTAAAAGACTTAAAAAAAAAGGAGAAAATATACTTTTCTGTATACGATCGGACAAAACTGTAAAACGCAAATAGTTATTTGTTATGCAAAGCCTGAGCAAGCGAAGGAAGCTAAGGTTCAACAATAGATTCCTGAGCGTAGCGAGGGTTTTAAGGCACGAGACGCAAAACAACTTTGTTGCCGAGCGAAACACACAACTTTTCACCTCACTATAGCGAGGAAAATGGTAGGTTTGCACCTCATCGATTGTTATTCTTGCTTGTACTTATAATTTTTGTGTGATTAAGCGATTATTGAAATTATTTTAGTTTTTCGGTGAATCAAAATAATTTAACGAACACACTACTAATTATACATTTTTATTGAATTGATATTCAATTATTTTTTGTGAAATTACTCTACAAGTTTGTTATAATTATTAATACAAAGATCGAACACTCAGAAAAAATACTTTCGATCCGGCCGGATTCGAACCGACGTCTTCTAGCTTACCGTGTCAGACGCTATACCAACTAAGCCACGGAACGAACCAGCAGACCTCACGAATTTTTCTATGTGCGTGTGTCGTGTCTTTGTACTTGGTCTTTCAACGACTTTTTAGTCCGACCGGATCGAAGGAATTTTTTCTGAGTGTTCGATCTTTGTATTAATAATTATAAGTCTATCTTTGCTCACTTTTTAACCAACTTCACAAAAGGAGGATGTTCTCAATTCATCTGTGTTTTTTTTTTGTATGTATGCATGTTACGCGATAACTTCTAACTACGAAAATAAATAAAGAAATAATTGAATATCAATTCAATAAAAATTTAAAATACAGCGAATAGCGACATCTCTCGCCAGGACTGGTAACTGTAAAGGTACTAACTGGGTGATAAATCTTTCATAGATTTCTCATAGATGGCGCTACGACTAAAAAGTCGTTGAAAAAACCAAATACAAAGACACGACGCAAGCACATAGAAAAATTCGTAAGGTCCGCTGGTTCGTTCCATGGCTTAGTTGGTATAGCGTCTGGCACGGTAAACTAGAAGACGTCGGTTCGAATCCGGCCGGATCGAAGGAATTTTTTCTGAGTGTTCAATCTTTGTATTAATAATTACACTGCTAATTAGTTACCTTTGTCAATTTAATGTCAACAATAATGAGAATAATATATACCAACGGATTTGTAATACACAAATAAGTAATGTACGACAAATCGCGTAGCTGAATATGTCATTATCTTTTATTCATCGAAAGGAAAAGTGAAGTACACCACAGTCCATCGTCAAGTTCGAATTTCAAAAACCTTTTGCATGCTAGCGTGCAAAAAACAGTTTTGCGCGCAGATTTCTACTGAGAAAAAAGCCTTTCCGAGCTGGTGAGGTGAAAAGTCACACTGCCGTGACACGCGCGCGTCATTTTTACAGTAACAATTAGTCAAGTAAGACGTAATGCAGTGCTTCTATAAGCGTCTAACGAACTAATTTGTAAGCGCCCTTTAATCTTTCTATCAGATTGACTTGTTTTTTGTGGCACTTAAATAGATCGTAATTAGAGCTTGCAGAACTGGTCCGGTTCCTAAATTTTGATTCCCGGTGCTGGGCTCACCTCAGTACCGGATAGTCCCGGTATTCCCAATATTCCCGGTAGTTCTTGAAAAACCTTAACTGTATGTTATCTGTACGTATTCAATAGTTTACGTAACAATAGTACCATAAATAATAAAGAAAACCGTCTCTAGTCAAACTAATGGTTTTTATTCAAAATATCTAATTGAGAGATAATTACTATTAAATTTAACATAACATAATACCGTAAACCAGCCCGTTACACCAAGTACCAAGTACCAAGTACCGTAAAATCACATTGTAGTTAAGTAATAAGTTTAAGTAGCATTAATGGCATTAACAATTATTTATCAATCTTCAAAACGAGTAGAAATCATAATATTAACCACAAAAAATAAGAATTTTTGATTGTTTCAAATTAGTCTTAATGTTTGTTCAACGGTTGATATTACTCATAACTCAGTAGCTAGGTAGTTCCTTGCTATAACTGAGAGTACCGGGAAACTATAATAGCGGTACCGGTACTGATTGCACCTCGCCAGTACCTGGATTTTCCGGTATTTCCGGGACCAAGCCCTAGTCGCAATACAGGTAGCAACAGGTACTATTGGGAAGTGTTACAATAATAGGTAGCTTTGGGACCTGAGGAAGTTAGACCTTAGACAATACTTAAGTGTTTGTTTTACTCAAAATTGTATTTCAAATTCAAATATACGTGGGGCACACTCTACGTTTCCGGAATTAATAAGAAAAAAATAATATAAATGGTCAGAAATAAATGTATTGTTTCTCAAAATATTCTCCGTTGGCGTTAATGCACTTTTTCATACGAATGAACCAATTTTGAAAACATTTATGCCACTCCTCCGTGACAATCTCTGAAACATATTTTTCATACTCTTCGACAGTCTCTTCAGGTGATGAAAATCGTTGACCGCGTAACTGGTTCTTAATTTTTGGAAGTAAATAAAGGTCACAAGATGCCCGGTCGGGACTGTACGCGGGATGGCTCATAATGTCAACGTTGTTCACCATCAAAAATTCATTTGTCTGTCTGGCCGTGTGAGAACTGGCATTATCGTGGTGTAAGATGATACGGCGTTTACGGTTTTTTTTTTGGAGTTTGTCAGTAACTTACGGCAAACAAATGGCCGTGTACCAATCGCCATTCACGGTACGCCATATCCGCTTCGAGGCACTTTGCACGCGTGCCACTTTGGTTGGTTTCGGCTCATCTCGAAAGACCCATACGCTCGATCGCTGCTTTGTTTTGGGATCGTAACTATAAATCCATGTTTCGTCACCTGTTACTATGTCCCACACCAAATTTGACGCTCCTTTGTTGAATCTGGTAAGCATGACATTGCACCAAGTGACGCGATCCTTTTATTGAGCCTCAGTCAAATTGTGTGGGATCCACCGAGAACACAGCTTGTTCACACCCAAATGTTTCTGTAGTATTGATTGTATTCCTATCTTAAAGATGACTGAATCTCATGGTATGTCATACGCCTTTCTGTTTTGATCATCGCGCAAAGCATCGATGTTTTTGTTGTTCACAGCAGTGGACGGGCGATCATCACGAAATTCGTCACTGAGATTCACACGACCGCGTTTGATTCTACAAACCAGCTATAAATAGTCGCCTTGCATGGTGCTTCATCGCCAAAACAGGTTTGAAGCCGAGCGAAGCTCCGCTGAGCTGTTAAATTACACTTAAAGTCGTAGAAAATCATACTACGAAAATTTTCACGAGTCAAATCTATGGTGATAGACAACCAATTTCTAAAACATGACGCGGCAATGAAAAACAAGTGACAGTCAGATGAAACAAACTGTATTCCACAGCCAAAGAGTTCCATTTTCAAATGTTGTAATTACTTTTTAATTGTTTGTGTAAGTGGCCAGTTCCGGAAACTTATAGTGCGCCCTATGGATCTTTATGTTGTTTATTCTGAGAGTAAAGCTTAGATGCAACTGTAGAAATTGATAATAGTTGATTAGTTGATTACAATATATATACGTATGTTGGATATAAATGTCTCATTATTGTAGGTACGTAGAACCATGACTTTCCCATGTTATGTGAACAATATAGCTTTGGTGGTAATGAGATGCGATATATTGCCCTCAGAATGAAAAGAGGCACAACTACTGTATAAAATACGCATAATATATATATACATATATTTCTATGGATCTAAATTTAATATAAAATTCATTTTAAGAATGTGTATTGCCACACCCTAACAGAGTCCATGTTTGTATAAGACTGTATGTACTATTCATGATGCAATAAATAAATAAATAAATAGTTTTGCCTTTTTTCGTTACGAGGGCAGTATATAAATATACAATTTTAATTAGAGATATCAATCATTTTTAAGATTAGAAAATTAATATCACTAACAAATGTTATCAAAGTTTACGATGTTATCAAATGTCATTGACATGTCTTATCTGCCCTCCAACCTGTAACTATACCATAAAATCAAACAGTAAATGACAAAGAGACTAACGAGACTAAGATACGTATGAACACTGTGGTACAAATAGAGGCAGTGACATAAACGATAACATTTTACAACATTAAGCTGTTATACATATCTTCTTAGTAAATATTAAAATCTCCGGTAAACAATTAGGTATGACTACGTATTGAATTAAACAATAAATAAATAACTCATACACTCTTAGCCCCGCACTAGGGAAACCCTGTATCGCGGGTCACCTAACCCAGCCTCCGTCACGTAAATTGCAAAAATACAGTAAAGATCGAACACTCAGAAAAAAATCCTTCGATTTTCCGCATTCGAACCGAAGTCTTCTAACATACCGTGCCAGACGCTATACCAACTAACTAGTGCTTGTTGTCGTGTCTTTGTATTTGGTTTTTCAACGACTTTTTAGCCTTAGGGCCATCTATGAGAAATCTATGAAGGTATTTCGTCATCCAGTTAGATCTATCTCTGTATACCTCTCATCTTTGTATTAACAATTATAACAAACTAGTGGAGTAATTTCACGCAAAAAATAATAAAATATGAATTCAATAAAAATTTAAATACAGTACTTATTACTACTCCTTTCTTAAAAATATTAAATTTTTTGTTTTGTAATAGAGTTCTAAAACATTTAAAATTGAAAAAAAAAATTAGAAACGACTTTTTTAAAGGAATTAAAACTGCTTTTTTTTTGTAATAAATCGCAGATTATAATAATAATAGAAAATAACGCACGCACTCACAGCCTCGTACTAGGGAAACCCTGTGCCACATAGACAGCCACAAACTACCTACACTCACACTCACTGGATAAATAAATGTAGGCCACACAAACATTTCTCCCGGCCTGGGCATCGAACCCGAGACCTGTGCACGTCAGTCCAGCATGGTCACCGTTCGCACGAAAGTAGTTGAATAAACAATCTTGTAAAAATACCTAACCGTTTTGTAAATCGGCTTTTGAAAGACGTTTTAGGTTGTACGTATAACCCCGTAATTCCCTAGTCCACCGCATATATTATATTATTAGATAATAGATATTCCAAAGATTCGCACGAAGCATTACGCTTACACATTTATGTGGCGAACGGCTGTATACAGAAGCCCATTTTGCTTGCGTTTACGAACACGTTTTTAAGTCAAATTATATTACAATTAATATAACATTAGTTTACAAATATAATCTACATTTACTTAGTTTTAAAAATAAGTATATAAATTTTATTTATACCTAATGGTCATTTGTCTTAGTTTAGAGGCCCAATGTAAAACTATCAAAGTTAATTTATACAAATCAAACATTTTTATCGAAACTCAAAATAGATTACAATATCCATTGATTTAATTTATTTTATGTTTCAGACAAAGAGGATCAGTCATTAAAAAAGATGACCGTTTAGACTTTTTTGCCTGCTGCGTTTGCAAATTTAAAATGATCATTCAAATACATGCCAAAAATTAATTATCATAATCAGTAATCGCCTAACCAACAAAAATACAACCGAACCGAAACCGGTTACAAAGACCACGTGTTTTCGTCGAATTTTATTTGCCTTTTCCAATGTAACAAACTTTATTACGAATATTAATTGTTAACGTCTAAGTATAATACCAACTGTCTGCCAGGTTTGTTCGCCCGAGGCATCGCCTTCAGTGGCTCGGCGTTCACCCCATGGGCTCTCCAGATCAAGCCTGCTGAGAAGGCTAAGGCACTAGCGGCAGCCGTCGAATGCCCTACGGTGAATCATAAGGATTTAGTCGATTGTATGAGAGATTGCAACGCGGATTTGCTTGTAGCTGCACAGGCTGAGTTAATGGTAAGGTTTACATATATATTTTGTAGAGCAGTAGAGCTCCTTGTGAGTTCGTCCAGGGAAGTACCTTAGCTATTTCTGCCGTCAAGCAGTAATGTCAGCTTTACTCTTCTTCCTGTCCTTATCCCACGCTCGGTGGGGTCGGCGCAACATTTATTTTTCTTCCACTCTCCCCTATCAGCCGTTATTTTTATCCATCCATCTTTTCTTTGGCCTTCCTTTCCCCTTATATCCCTCCACATTCATACCTAGCACTCTTCTTGTCACATGACATTCTTCCCTCCGCATGACATGTCCATACCACGCTAACCTATTACTCCTCATCTTTTCCGTCATTGGTGCCAGTTTCCAACTTCCCCTGATGTACTCAATCCTTATCTTATCCTTTCTCGTCACTCCACGCATCCATCTCAACATTTACATTTCCGCTACATGCACAGTTCGTTCATCCTCCCTTTTCATCGCCCAACATTCTGATCCATACAACATGACAGGTCTAATCACGGTCTTGTAAATATTCCCCTTTAGCTTAAGGGGCATTCGCCGATCGCAAATAGTGCCTGTGACCTGTCGCCATTTCATCCATCCTGTCCTTACTCTGTTCTTAACGTCGCGGTCTATCTCGCCGTCGTTCTGTATTAACGAACAATTGGTAGGGATAAACCATCTAAGGCAATATTGGTAAAAGTAATGTCAGCTTTATTGTGTTCCGGTTTTGAAGGCTAGGGGTGCTGGTGAAATTACAGGCACATGGGACTTGTCAACTTATGTCTCAGGGTAACGGGCGCAGTGGCAGTGCCCCTCAGATCTTTGCGATTTAAATCTCTGAGTGGCACTGCAACTGTTATGGACAGGCGTGTAGCTTACCATCAGGCGCACGACTTGTTCGTCCCGTCACTTGATATTATAAAAAAAAAACATTGCTCCGGCCATCAGAGATGACGAGATTTTGTAGCTGGCAATAAAAAGGTATATCACTTAATCCAGCCTCCGTCACAAAAAATTGCAATAATACAGTACGTTTTCCTATTCCTTTCTTAAAAATATTTCCCTTTTCGTAATAGAGTTCTAAAACATTTAAAACTGAAAAAATATTAGAAACCACCGTCTTTTACATAGTAGAATTTAAAACTACTTTTAACTACTCGTAATAAAACGCAGATCATAACAATAATAATAACGCACACACTTATAGCCCCGCACTAGGGAAACTGTAGAAAAAATGTAGGCCATACAAATATTTCTCCCGGCCTGGGAATCGAACCCGAAACCCTCGCGTGGCAGTCTAGCAAAGTAACCGGCCACGGAACCAACCTATTCTATTTACATACTATATACTTACGTAAACACTTATCTCCACTTGCACTATACTTAAGTACATTTTAAACCAATGCTTAAATTAATAAGATACTCGTAACACAATGTATTAAGATTGTCTTTTGCATTGCAAGCAGTGGTTTAAAACGTACTAAGTTTTGTGCAATGCCACATGATGCCACACTGGGCGTTGCGTCGTCGACGTAACCATAGGACGCAACGCTATGAGAGCAACGTTTACGGTGGGTGGCTTAGCGCGCCATTCCAACGCACCGTATGGCATATCGTTCTGATTTATGTCGAACTGGAAAGTTAAAACGTCTAACGTGCATTGAAAAAATATTACAGAAGAACAAATTAAAGTAATTTTTTTAAGAAAAAAAGAATCATAACTCTAATTTTATTACTTGTATGGAAAAGCTGAAGTTTTTATCTACCCAGCATCGATATGTAGTACAACGCAACGTCACAACGCAACGTCATCGCAAAGCCGACGCAACGCATAATGTAGCATCGCTCTTAAGCCATCTTCCAAATTCCAGGACTGGAAAGTACACATGTTCACCCCGTTCACACCCACCGTTGAAGCGCCACAAGTGAAAAAGCCTTTCCTGATCAAGTACCCGTACCACGCAGCGCAAGATGGAGACATGTACAATGTGCCTCTTATTACATCTGTCACTTCGGAAGAGGGATTATACCCTGCTGCTAGTAAGTATTTAAAGGATCTTTCCACAGCACCATCCACCTCACCACGTAGTACTCTCAAACAGATGTCCCAAATTTTATACATCCACTTAAGAACACCAATCATCATCATCAATCTATACGTCCCACTGCTACGAAAGGATCTCCTCTCATGAGAGGGTTTTAGATCATAGTTCGCCATACTGGTCCAATGCGGTTTGGGTACTTCCCACGTTTTCCGAGGGTTGTGAACCGTCTTCGACGTGTTGGTTTCATCACGATGTTTTGGTTCACCAAATCTAATAGTAAATTTCGCACATAAATTCCGAAAAACTCAGAGGTGCGATGCGAAACCACGGCCTCTTCTTCAGAGACCGTTAAAACTATAAGGCAACCACGGCTTTTAAGAACACCAATGTGGAGGTGTAATATGGATAGATATCCACATTATCAAGTGTCCGCGCAGAATGCCGCGGCAGATGGAGCGAGCTGCCCTGCCTGCCGCTAGCTTTTCCGTGCGCTGCGCCCAACTGACTAGTATCACATCCTAATATTCAATATTTTCTTAAACCTAAATTTATACACCTTACTTCCAATTACATGTCTTCATTGGACCTAACTGTGTTTCATCATTTCAAAAAACCTCAAATATGTCCTTAGAAAGATATAGGACAATGATCTATCAATTACCGAAACAACAATGGTCAATAAAATTAGCATAAATTTTGTTAAATATATTCATACCAGTATATAGAGTAAGAGATATCTACTAAATAAAAACAGCAAATATATTTCTTTTTAATGTAGCTCAGTTACCTAAACTGTTAACTGAACATTATCTTGCCGTCGCCTTGCATAATGTAGAAATGATACGTAGATTCTTTACCTAAATAACATTTAATTACATTTTCTACCAGTGTACCAGAGGGATCCTGAGCTCCTGCAAGAGCTGGAACATTACTGGGAGGAACTGTCCAGTAACATCTTTGAATACAACGACACTTTGCCTCTGGAGCGTAGACCTGAGGTTGCTGCAAGGATCAAGCAGAAGTACTTGGCAGGCAAGCCTGTCGGACAGGAAACTTTCCCGCAACTTGTTCAGGTATGGAATTTCATTGAAGCCTTATCTTGCAATTATAGAAAGGCTTCATTAGTTACCTTACATAAGTACTCATAAGTACAGACCCATATCTTCTACCTAGTGTTCTCCCTACTCAACCTTTTGGTTATAAGGGAAGAGCACTATTACCTGTGCAAGCAAGCAGTCCTGGCCCCATATCAGCACGTTGCGACACTTCAACCAGTTCTCAAAAGTCTAGTGCCTTGGGTGAGCGTCCACGGGTGCACGTATAGCACCCTCCCTATTGTCCAGATAGCAGAGTTGAGGGCTCGCTCACTTCCTGCTGTACATTGGACAACAAGCGTCTCTCCAATTCCAAAGATTCTTAAGCGGCTGAAAGGGCCAGAGGATATCTTGCTTATCCTCTACTAGTTCTCCAAACTAATACCGGAGATATCAATCGCAGTATTTAGCGAAACCCGGACTTAGCTTCCAACTTAAAGGGCAACCCACGTGGCCAGCGCATCTTTTCAGATTTTGTTGAAACAAAACCTAATTAAGTAGGTAATTGTCAATTACCCCTAGAGATGGTGAATTCAAGAGATTTTATTGTCTATCAGGCCCTCGGTGACCGTCTATTCGTAGTGGACGTAGGCAAATTAGCTCAAGTACACGCGGCGAAATCAGGACAACCGGTGTACGTCTACCGATACTCATTTCGTGGAGACATCAGCCTGAGCTACATTATGGCATTGACCAAGAGGAATTACGGTAAATATTTATGTCAGAAGTGAATTGAAAATTTTCCTTGTTTTTTTTATAACATCAAGTGACGGGACGAACAAGTCGTGTGTCTGATGGTAAGCTTTAGCAGCAAAGCAGAGCTTTGAATTACATAGATCTGAGGGGCACTACCACTGCGCTCGTTCTCCCTGAGACATAAGTTGACAAGTCCCATGTGCCTGTAATTTCATCAGCACTCTTACTATTCAAAACCGGAACACAGTAATGCTGGCATTACTGCTTGGCGGCAGAAATAGGTAAGGTAGCAGTACAACCCTGGACGGATCCTTTCACAAGGAGCTCTACTGCTACTAAAAAGAGCTCTACTGCTTTTTCATGTGAAAGTAACTTAACAAGTACATATTTTTGCTCCGTAACAATATGCATTGGCCCACAGTCCGGTGTGCACCCCAGAAAAATGTTATCGACCCACAAAACAATTATTATAATCGTAAAGTGAAGTCGAATTATTATTAATTTTTGGGTATCTCCAGAATCAATCTCGTTACGCCAAGTGTTAAAATCCCCACCCCCAAGTCACTGCTTACAAAAGCTGCTCAACATTTCTTTATTACTGTAGAACATTTTAAGTGCTTCGACCATAACTTTAGAGATTTCCTATTATTTGTGGAATTTTACAGACTAAATCATAAAGGTAAATAAATAAAGGTTGACATCAGATTTCATTATTTTTAAAGGATTTTTTAAATCGCAGGAGTGAGCCATGCTGACGATGTGCTCCACATTTTCGAGCAGTTGGGACTCACCTCCAACTTTCGGCAGGACAAGCTGATGACTGAAGCCTTCCTTGACATGGTCGATAGCTACGCGAACACTGGGTAATTTGGAAACTACGATAGGCTTATCAATAATGCCAAATTGTTATTAGCTAATGAAACAAAAAACAATTGCTTTTTATGATAAGGTTCTAAGTGAAGGAACGAACAAATCGTGCGCCTGGTGGTAAGCGACACGCCTGTCCATAACAGTTGCAGTGCCACTCAGTGCTTTCAATCACAAAGATCTTAGGAGAAGAAATAACTAACTACACCAACTGTTCTGAAACAAATGAATTTCCTGTATTATGATATGAGTACCAAAGCAACGGAATTCACTCTGAGGCACTTCCCAGAACACCCAGACCATAACCAATATGGAAAGGATATTTCCCAAATTGGTCCTACTTGGAGTTGAACCCGGGACCTCCGAATCTAGCGCTGACAGTGTAAACCGTTAGGCCACCGAGGTCGTCATAACCTGAAACATAAGTTGACAACTTCCATGTGCCCGTAATTTCAAGCACCCTTAGATTTTTGCGCACTGCATCCAATGCGTATATGTTCCGAAACCTTTTTTTTTTTTTTTGACGGGGGTGAAGTCTTTATGGATACCCCTGAGCCCAGGGAGACTCAGGGGTTATGTGGGGACACTCTCTCCAGTCTGGAGGGCCTACCCCATTAAAACCGCCCCGGGTTTCCCTCTCGCCAGTTGAGTCGGCGCCGTGGGATCAGTGAATCCGAATCTAGGCTATACAAGTCTAGCAAACTCGAACCCACTCCGGTTCGTAACCAGTTGCGAAAGTAACACAATTGTGTTTTGTACGATACCAGTTGCGAACGAAGACTTTTTTGTACTCGCACGATACCGTGGTTTTTCGTTCGTAACTGGTTACGAAAAAAGCATAATTATGTTTTGAACGATACAGGTTTACCCGATTCCAATCGTAGTAAATACGAATGTCGCTTATACACCTAAAGACAAAATGATCCCTGTGACATTTCGGACCGTCATTTCTCGGATTCGGAACTGATAGGTACGAATCGGATGTAGTGAGCAAATGCTCTTACCCTCCAAAACCGCAACGCAGTAATGCTCACACTACTGCTTGGCGGCAGAAGGAGGTATGGATGGACTCTTTCACAAAGAGCTCTACACTTACTAAATCTACGTATCTACCAAATCGTTCCAATTTGACCACACTGATATGCGTCTCACTGTTGGATACAAGTTTTTAGGAATTTTCTACAAAAAAAGCGCGTGCTTAAGTAATATTACCTCTAACTAGAAATAATCTTTCAGAATACCAAAACTGGGCAATACACCGTGGTTGCCCGTAGTTCCTGGATCAGCAAAGATCAACTACTTGGAGATTACGTCTCCCGGAGTTATGGAAATGAAAAATAGCTCCGACTTCGGACATCGCTCCTTCTGGAACAGTCTGGGCTTTATAGAGAATGAAAATCATCCAGATCATTTTACGGACGAACACTATTCTTATTAAATAACCTTAAGATTGTCTTAACTGTCATTAATTGGAAGTCAATAACACTATGACACTAAATTACAGGGTTGACAAAGCTATATTGCTAATAATATTGTGTACTTCCGTGGTAGTATTGCCAGGACCCTTAAGTTGAAAATTACATTTCGTTACGTGAAATGTTGCAAAAGTTACATTTTACTAGTTCGTTTTTTTAATTAACCCTTTGACCGCCGTGGACGCTTTAAAGCGTCTTACGTTAACTTTGTTGATACGCCAATGACGCAGAAAAGGGTCAATAAAACCCTTTCAATTGGAATTGATAAATAAATGTTAAGACGTTCCTTGTGTTATTTGTATATTCTAGTTAAGTATGGATTCATAGTTGCATTTTATGTTCAATTAAGTATGTTCTTCTTTGACTTTTTAATTGCACCGACTGCAGAGCTGAGCCGTTCTGATAACTTATTTATTTGTGGATCCCATTGAAATTTAGCATCTACAGTTACACATGATAATACAACTGCATCTACAAGGTTTATTCTTTCATGACATTTGTGGTCGCCTGTCTAACGTTGTTGTTGTTGGGCAATGTAAATTTCACACATATTCCTTTTCTGCCATTGACGAGCAGGTTATTAAATGCAAAGCAATCTATCTGCCTTAGGAGTACTGTTTACATTGTCATCGGAACACATATGCCTTGTAACTGTAAATAATAAGAAAGTAACATCAGCAAAACAGTACTATCTCATGTTGTATACCCTCAATGAGACTAGGTGAGTCATTAATATAAACTAAAAATAAAAATGGACATAGAATTGAACCTTGAGGGACGCACATGCCAATTACAGACCCTGAAGATCTCGTCTCTGTACCCTATCATATTATTATGTACCTATGTAATTTAGTACTATATTATTCACGATAAAAATGATTATGTATACGTAATAGCGTAGTAAATATAATTTATTTTTAAGATACATAAATAAATATGATATAGACCTAAGTTGCTCTTGTATTTATTTCTATTTCTGTCTAACAATAGATTCGTACAAAAAGTGAACGAGCACTGGGCCAAGCAATGCCGTCATTTTCCGAGATAATTACAACACAAACTTTTTTTTTATCTCTTTGTTCATAATTGATACAATTAAAATAAAATAATAATAGTCGGTACTTAATAGCGATGAAAGTTATTGTAACATAAAATGATAATGAATGTCAATGAAGCAAAGGGACCTCATTCTAGAAGCCTCCGCTGTGTAAAGCGTTTAGGAATGCCCAGTTTTTGCCTATCAAAAATAAATTCCCTCAAATGTTTTTTAAACGTAAACTTAGTTTTAAAGAATGCAAGCGAGGGTGGAATATTATTCCAACACTTTGTAGCTTGATACACAGTGCGATGAGTTTGTCCCGCCAACAGAGGTCTCACGGTTCTAATAGAAAATTTGTCGTGAAAATTAGTGTTTTAACTTTCCATACAAGTACTCTGGTTTTTGGAACTTTATCACGCCATGTGGGTGTATTATTCTCATCAGTAAAATTATAAACATGAAAAATTAAGAGTATATAAATATGGTTCGTTCCGTGGCTCCTTCCGTGGTTCCGTCATTTTCCGAGATAATTACAACACTAACCTTTTTTTTAACTCTTTGTTTATTTAGGGACTTGATTATGGTATTCATTTTAACAACTGCCGCATACTGCCAGCTTATGATGAGTACCGTAGATGGAAAAGTGCTGCTCTATTATAAAACAATAGATGTACTTGTCAAGTTTGGTTGTATTGTAACAACAAATAGCCTTAATCGTATTTTGGTCAGAAAACTTCGCCATTATAGTGTGGCGGGGCCGTGATCTCGCCTTCTTAAATCGTATTTAATGGTAGGGTATAGAGGGTCCATGTCAGCGCTATGACACCATCAGGGTCTGTATGGTTACAGATCGTATCTCGCTAATGCATAGGCGTCACTCAAGGTTCAATTCTAGGTCCATTTTTATTTTTAGATTATATTAAGGCACATGCCAACGTTGCGAGCCCTTTACAGGTCCCATGGTCACGGTTGACTGAGGTGGTAAAGTCATCAACCTATAATATTAATGTAAACTACCCTATTTTTTTTCACCGTAGTTACAAACATTTAATCAACGGTGACCATGGGACTTGTAAAGGGCCCGAAACGTTTGTTTGAAAAAACAAATATACGCGATTTAAATCCGGAAAAGCAGTTCCATTTCCTAAGTTTAATTTACTATAAAAAGAATAATATTTTTATCTTCTTATCGTTTCAATGGAATACTCTATAATATTTGCCATCGCGGTGAAAGCATTTGCCAATCGCCGTAAGATATGTACTCACCGATTGTGGCCCAGAGTGCGCAAGACTACAAAGGAATGGCATGCCGTGAGGGGAAGCTCCTGTCGTGCACCCCATTTATGAAAAATAGTGATAAACATAACATTAATACGAGGATTAAAAGTGTATCGGCTGTTCTTTACAGTCGTCTTCATAAGGTTACAATTCATTCATGGGGAAACGTATTCGCTTATAAATTAAAATTCTGGTTGACATTGAATATTTGCAATTCAATTATTAATACAAAGATCGAACACTAAGAAACATTTCTTTCGATCCGCTGGCTGGATTTGAAACAACGTCTTTCCGTAAACCAGACGCTATGCGAACTAAGTCACAAAGTTTCAAGTAAAAAATTTAAAATCACAAAGATCTCAGGGGCTCTGCCACTGTGCCTGTCACCCTGAGACATAAATTGACAAGTCCCATGCGCCTGTAAATTCACGCTCGCCCTTCAAAACCGGAACGCTGCAATCCTCACTATGTGAGGATTTATTTGTAATGCAAGGCTTGGCGGCAGAAATAGGTAAGGTGGCAGTAATTCCCTGGACGAACTCTTTCACAAGAAGCTCTACTTCTACTAAAATATTATTATTTACTTGTACTAATGTATCTACATTAATTTAATTTATAATCGATATTCTTAAACACAAACATTGAACAAGAAGTTGAATTAAACATATACATATATATCTCTTGGGCACAACTTAAATGTAAATATTACCAACCTAAGTAAATAACGTAGATACCAACATAAAACACTATCAACACTGTCTGTTTGTTTATTTTTGCTCAGCCCAAAACATACATATGTATTTAACTTGCCATTTACACACATAATCTGAGACAGTCAAGTCGTCGGAGACATAGTCTAACCAATCTAGAAAACAGTCAGTTTAAATCGGAGTGTCTGCGGCAGCGCATGCGCTGCATTCCCACTAGCATTCTAAATTTAAAAATGCTATCTTTAAGGTTATTTTTGTTCGCGATAATTGCTGTACTGGCGGTCGCCCAACAGGACAAAGAACCCATAGTGAGGATTGGACATGGCGTTCTTCAAGGAACATGGAAGATTTCTACTAGAGGAAGGACTTATGGAAGCTTTGAGGGTATCCCGTACGCAAGACCACCATTAGGGAAATATAGATTCAGAGTAAGTAATACACGATTCTTCTTAAAAGTTACTATTACGGTTCATTCTGTTTGGGTCAAGCAGCAGGGACAGTGGCTCTATTTAAGAATTTATTTTTTATAAGCCATTTCAAAAATGTATATCGTTCACTTGACATAAAAAAAATCATTGGTATATATGTAAATTACCTATAGAATACAGCGGTTTTCTTGTAAAATTTCGATGTCAGTTGGTGTTTTTTTTTCTATCATGAAAATTGTTAGGAATCGTGTTTTCAAACCATATAGTAAGCAGTGTATATCTACAATTTTACTATATTTTTCGCAAAGTGATTGATCCAACATTTTCACTGTCATGCGGAATCAACCAAAGCCATTTGAGGTTGTATAGACTCCTAAGGTACTTATCAACATCTGCAAAATGACAACTTTTCAAGTGAGAGATAACTTTTTTTTATTAAATACAAGAGAAATTTTCAGGTAACCTGCCGTAATCCAGAAGTGCATTTTTATATAAATAACTTTATTTTTATATAGGCCTATTCACAGAAATCTAAATAGTTTAGATTTCTGTGGGTAGATAGATAGATAGATAAAACGTTGATTGTCTTGCATCACACACACAACAATATAATAGAGTAAATTGATTAAAAGTGTCTCTTTTAGAAATCAAAATTAAAGAAAAAACAAGAAACATAATACTAACCTACTTGGTACTTGGTACTTGGTGCAACGGGCTGGTGTCCGCAACTCGACGACAAAGCGCCTATACTAACCTAATGATCCTTAGCTTGTGTGTGGAAAACAAATAGGTCGTGCCTCAGTGCAAAATTTGCCCAACAGCAAGACACTGATTTTCAGCCACCACGTTCGAGAGTAGCGCGTTTAGTATCACGTGAATATTATGTAAAAATTAATAAATAGTAACTGTGAAAAAAAATTCAGAAAAAAATTGTAATGCAAATTCGTAATTGATGAAAATAAAATAATAATAATCAGTACTTAATAGCGATGAAAGTTATTGTAACATAAAATGATAATAAATGTCAATGAGGTAAAGGGACTTCATTCTAGAAGCCTCCGCTATGTAAAACGTTTAGGAATACCCAGTTTTTGCCTATCAAAAATAAATTCCCTCAAATGTTTTTTAAACGTAAACTTACTTTTAAGGAATCTAAGCGAGGGTGGAATATTATTCCAACACTTTGTAGCTTGATAGCGGAAGCTCCAGTAAAGGCCAACAGAGTGTTTGTCCCGCCAACAGAGGTCTCACAGTTGTAATAGAAAATTTGTCGTGAAAATTGGAGTATTTTAACTTTCCATACAAGTACTCTGGTTTTTGGAACTTTATCACGCCATGTGGGTGTATTATTCTCATCAGTAAAATTATAAAGCACGAAAAATAAAGAGTATATAAATATGGTTCGTTCCGTGGCTTAGTTGGCATAGCGTCTGGCACGGTTGGTAACCTATCACAAATTCGAATTTCTTTGTCCGAAATAACGTTTGTTCGAATTTTCATTACACCGAAAACCGACTTATAACGAAGCCGTTGTTCTTTCAGAATATGTTGGATGTTTATCGCAAAGACACGATTAGGTTCGGTTAGGTTAGATGAAGTTCGGTTTAAAACAACAAACATTTTCCTCCCAAAATTACTTTCGAGATTATGAAAATTCGAGCAAATGTTATTTCTGGAAAATGTCTGATAGGTAACTGGCACGGTTTGCTAGGAGACGTTGGTTCGAATCCAGCTGGATCGAAGGATTTTTTTCTAAGTGTTCTATCTTTGTATTAATAATTATAACAAAGCAGTGAAGTAATTTCACAAAAAATAATTGAATATCATGGTGGTCAAACATCCTGATATTCAATAGAAAGCACAAATACATATCTAATTTACAAGCAACACTTAAGAATCGCAGGTATTATGTTCATTTTGGTTCAATACATTAATACGTTCCCCTGTAAAGTTGTGAATTTGAACCTAGGACTCTTTACGTCAGAGGGATCAGTATTCATAATTTGTTTCATTTACTTCGTATTATTTCTATTATTTTTACTTTCGTGTGATAAAAACACTTTTAAGGGTACAAGACTTATTTCGTGGATCATTTGTCTGTCAAAAATATTTCATGATCTAAACGATGTCAGTAGTAATAAAAATGCCAGTAACATTAGCAAATATCAGTTATGATAGCATCCATTACTGCCACATTTAACTGTTCGGTAGCAGTAATAATTAAAAATCACTTAAATACAATTACAAATTCTATTACTTTAGTGTTAATTACCCCAGGTAGAGCGCCATATCGTTATTACATTTAGTTATCACAGAACCAATACCACAGCCTTTAGAACTAGGTACCATTAACCTAATATTACCTGACATACAATATCGATATTTTAAGAAGAAACGGCGTAAAATTCAAGCTAGAAAGTTTTGTGCAGCGAATGGAAGACATTTCATATCTCAATCATTTTTAAATCTATAGGTACTATTCATTTTTAAGTTTACGTAAAAAGCTTCTTTTATATCAAATTTTAACCCACCTACTTCACAATAAATAATTAATAAAATAATAAAATAAAAATTAATAAATAATTGTCAATAAAACTTGGCTTTTACTTTAGACTATGGATTTTTTTTCCATCCCCTAAGGCGTTTACACCCTTTTTTCTGCGTTAAAAATTATTTAACGAACTCTTTCACAAGGAGCTGTACTTCTGCTAAAACTAAAAAAGCATACGTTAATTTAAGAATTTTGCCTAAAGAATATGGTAATTCGTTACACGGTAGGCTGTACTTCACGTGATCATATAAAATCCAGAAAATAGGCTAAAATAAACGTCGAAAACGAATTGGGCGTTTGTCGATGTCGAACCTGTGTCAAACTTTCTCCGCCTGTTCTTATTTTATTCATATTATTATTATTTTGCGGGACGCGAGCGGCAGTCCCCCACACCTCACCTCCTAAAATGTAGGCTCGCATTGAAACAGGGTTTTTATATTAGATACAGAAAAATATAACCCACGTCCTCGATGTAACTCCACTTATGCCTCTCTTCCAAAAGGGGTGCGAATATCGTGACGCCATCGTGAGTCTTATAGGTATTTTGAAAAACATTTATTGTTTTTCAGTAACGCTTTTCCTCCACACTGACGCACATTGACACAACACGTAGAAATGTCATGATGTGTACTTTAGACTAGTCATCCACTCTTAAAGCAAAGAATTACTTTGCACCTTGTGTTTAAAGACAATAAAACGAGTTATTCTTGCTTTGTCTAGTTTGTTCTTTGTCCTTTCAAACATAAAAATTACCGACAAGTTGTTCGCCAATTCATTCGATTTGGATCTCAGGTCAATTTCTGTTTATTAAAAGTTTGATGGAGAATTAAGCCCGCAAAAGCCAGGACAAAAAATGTAAATAATGAAATATTTATTCACAATGTAAAGATACAAATTCTCAATTCGTGTTGCATCGTTTTAATATTTTAATTTTCAGTCATTGACCTGCTATGTTCAATATTTTGAAATGTTGTTCAAATAAAAAAATTGAAATTTCGAAAATTACACCTGTATAAAGAGAAAATTAAATGACTTTGTTGCTTACTGTCCGTAACTTATTTTCTAACAATTTTATTGTTATGCGACCATTACGAGACATTCAATTGATTTTTCTTACATTGTGTATTTAGAGTGGCAAATGAAAAATTACTAACGGTGCCTCGAGGTTTGGGATTTTTTACCACCCGCACATACAACGTTTTTCATAATATTTGCAAGGAAATAGAAATAATGATAATTTATTTCTTGCATGAATAAATATCGCTTCACTTGTTTTTTATTTATACAGATGGCCAGCTATTCTTTTAATTTTAACTCAAGCTAAACTGTTGTAAATGGCAAAAACGGCATGCAGTCATTACGATAAAGATATAAAATAAACAATTTCAAAATACTCATAAACAAAAATGCAAAAGAAAAATAATTTGGAACACAAAATAATATCAAGTCACATTCTATACCTAATATTTTAAGGAAGTTTGGGTCGTCGAAATCGTCAGAAAAAAAATTTTAGTTTTTCTGATGCCTATTAAAAACTACGCGATAGATAATGTGCATTACTGAGTGATTTTTAATTAATTCCACTCATAATTACCGTAGACATTGAACGATTAATATTATATTGAATGATGGTAATGAAAGCATGAAAAAACTAGACAATTTTGCTGCTAGGTACTGAACACAAAAACACGAATTATGTTGTAATCATAGTTTTATTTATTATATAGCTCCAACGAAAACTCTGTTTAAATTTTTTCATGTGATTTGTAAATGTCAGTCAAAAAACGTTTTTGTTTTCTCACTTGCGTTATGAAATCCTTTTTCTCATAAGAATAATTTGAATTGAAAATTGTATTTTACTATTACTTAATAATAAAATAAATTAAATTAGTTTATCTTATATTCCTCCATATTTAGTGCTAAGACCACTGGCCTTACAATACGCTGGAGTACTTCGACTGAAGGACTTACATCCAGAGTCATAAAATAAATTTTAAAAAATAGAGATCTTCCCCGCTATCACGCAAGACCCTGAACAGTCTTACAAGTGCTTAGCCAAATCCTAAATAAATTTTAAAAAAATCCGTTTCACAAGTACTACACACATAAAATTATGAATACCTAGTCAATTATTTCAGTTCCCTGTAGATTCGGAAAAACTACCGTAGCCTGTAAAAATGGAACATACAACTGAAGCTTGCAACAATTTGCATACCAATAAACCGCGTGAAGAATTCAAAGTCATAACAACCGCTTCTATGTATCCCTCGAGATATTTCTTATTTCAACAAGAGACGTGCCGTGAATTTTATTGTAACGAGAATCTTACAGGTTTATATACCACATAAGTACATACATAAGTCAATTGCTGCAAGACTAACTCAAAAACGCTGCTAATCGCGTTACAAGGCAGCTTAGTCGAATATTTAGTACCTATTTATACACCAGATGTCGTGACGAGCAATGTTTGAAAATAATTTGTTTTACATTGGCAACAGCAATTTATCAAAGCTGTTCTAATTTCTGGTGATAACAAACAAACCAACTAGATGGCGCTTATTGCACAGATTTTTATGGATAGTGGCGGCTATTATTATATATATATATAATAAAGCTACAAGTTCTTACTGACTGATAGAAATAGAACGCATACTTCGCGATATGGTGGAAAAAAGATATTCTTACCGTTGTACGCGGATAGATTCCAAAGCAAAGAATCAAATATGAGACGACCTAAATGTGGGAAATATGAAAGAGTGATCAACGGCCTGCAAAAACTATAATATGTGGAGGGAATATTTGTGCACTTTTATGAGGTACACCCTGGTCAATTTCCGCCGGAAGTAAAAAAATGTTCGAAATTCAAATAAATAAGATGGCCGCCATACAATTTTCAAAGTCTCCTATCATAGAAGCTATTGGAGATAGGTAGGAGGTGCTCGAAGGAATGTCATAGAGATTAATAGTGGTCAACAGTCTGGGTTAAAAAAAACAAGATGGCGAATTCAAAATGGCGGCCGAATAAAAACTTGCTTCGATCCGGCTGAAAATTGGTATGTGGGGGTCTTTAGGAGTCCTTAACCATAATTTCATGGGTTAAAAGTTTCTTTTCGCCATTTTTTATTATGGCTGTCATATAAGCGTTTTTTTCGTCAAAAGTGGCTGCAGAAACGGACTTGCTCTGATAACTAATATAATATACTTTGAGGCTATTGTCGAGCGTCATCTAGATATAAGACCGAAATTTTGACCTTTTCCAGAGTCTCCTTGAGTTATTGGACCACAGTAATAGGAAGTTTATCGTAAAGCAATGTGACGATTTCGAGTTTACTTTGCTTACCTATCAAATAAAGATTATTTGCGTAAATAACAAGAACGAATAAGCGGTTACGGGTATGTGGCTTTCTCGTCTAACGTCTAAGAACAAACTTGGTGTCAAGCGTGTCAAGCAACCGTTTTTTGTAACTTCAACCAGACCCAACAGTCTACCTTATAATTGGTTTTTGTAGCAGTAGAATTCCTTGTGAAAGAGTTTGTCCAGGGAAGTACTGCCACCTTACCTATTTCTGCCGCCAACTAGTAATGTTAGCTTAACTACGTTCCAGTTTTTCAAGGGTACGTGTGCTGGTGAAATTACAAGCACATGGGACTTGTCAATTTATGTCTCAGGGTGACGGGCGCAGTGGCAGTTCCTTTCAGATCTTTGCGATTTGCAACTCTGAATGGCACTGCAACTGTTATGGACAGGCGTGTAGCTTACCACCAGGCGCTGGTCGTCCCGTCAATTGATATTATAAAAAAAACCTAATAGTCAAATTTTTGTTGTTGTAGGAACCTCAAACCTTGAAATCATGGCCAGGACTGTGGGATGCTTCTCGACCTTTCCAACCTTGCCTGCAGTACGAACCTTTTGTGGGAAAAGTCATTGGTAAGAACTGCAACACCTACCATAAGTAAGGTTTTTCCAAATCCCAGTAATCTTAGTCTTGAAAATTGCGAGGCTCGACCATTTTTTCAGTCTCGGTAATTTCAAGACTTTCAAGATGACTAAGTCACTGAATTAAACTGTTTTAAAAAAATCTACTAAACGAATATTTATTTTGTACTCTGGCTACATTGACATGGCGACACTGAAAAATGGAGCTTAGTCAAATCGTTGAGCTTTGGGGAAATTGAATTACGATAGTATTAAAATTAGGTCCTCTCTACCTGATTTGAAATATAATATTCCCTTTTTTATAAATTTCCCTTATAGTAGAATCAATTAGAAAATGATAGGATCTATTGATAACTTAGAAAAAAACCGTGTTATATGGCGTAATTTATTTCAGTTTATTAGACGATTTAAATGTCTATATGCATATTTTTGTAGTCGGTATTTTTATGTTGTAGTTTTAAATTCTTTCTGCTCAATGATCTTTTTTTTCTTGGCCTTTCGCGGTTAGCCTTTCAGCCCCTTGTTTTTAAAAGGCATGTATTTAAATTTCCATATAACATGAAACACAGTAAATAAAACTTAGAATAAGAATAGATCAGAAGAGAGAATCGTATCGTATACACTAATGATACTACATTATTAACGTGATCTTTTCTTTACCCAGGTAGTGAAGACTGTCTACATGTAAACGTATACTCCCCCAAACCGTACGCAGGAGCCAATCTGCCGGTTGTAGTGTACATCCACGGAGGAGCCTTCATGTATGGGTCAGGAGCCATCTACGATCCCATACATCTCATGGATAAGGACCTTGTGGTTGTCACACTCAATTATCGGTTGGGACCTCTGGGTAAGAAGGTTTACTCCACTATTGTGGAGTGTGTTTCTTCAACAGATTCTGACACACGATGTACGATTCTTGACTATTTAGCAACAAAACCGTGGTAGCCCAATGATTTGACCTACCACTTCTCAAACAGAGCCCGTGGATTCGAATCCGGACTCGAACCTCTGAATTGTTCGGAATTTATGTGCGAAATTTAATTTGAAATTTGCCATGAGCTTTTCGGTGAAGGAAAAACATCATGATTGATGATTAAAGAAGGAAACCCTCAGAAAACGTATGAAGCTGGACCAGTGTGGCGGACTAAGGTCTAAACCCTCGCCTGAGAGGAGACCCATGCCCACCAGTGGTTGATGATGATGATGATGATGATACAGCAAGTGATGAAACTAAACTCTATAACTAAACTCCCAGTAGTGTAATTTTCTCCGTTTAGTTATCTTTCACTCTGCAGACTAACACTGTACGTCCAGATTTTCAGACATTAGGGTTGTCAATTGTGTTTTCGAAAGCAGCACTGCTTATTCCATTTCTATTAATAATTATTGCAGGATTCCTGAGCACAGGTGATGAGGTGGTCCCCGGCAACACTGGACTCAAAGACCAGGTGATGGCGTTGCGCTGGGTGCGAGACAATATCCTCATGTTCGGAGGCAACCCTGACAGTGTCACACTCACTGGTTGTTCCGCTGGAGGGGCTAGCGTGCATTATCATTATTTGTCGCCTATGTCTAGGGGTAGGTGTTTAAAATCCTTCAAAACAGAATTTTTTTTAAATATCTACACACATCATAAATCCTCTATGATGAGTTCAAAAACCGCAAATTACGATCAGCTTAAAGATAAACTGTTTTGTTAGAACAAATTTCTTATCTATGAAAATGTTATTATTGCATAATAATCATTGACCTACCAACAAATGGACGTTTGGGTCTAATACAAAAACCACGAAAAAAATGTCCGAAGTTAACCTATACAAACCTAGTGACATGTAACGAAATATAAAAAAACTAAAACATTTAATTTAAATTGTAACGTCATTGCAGCACTGCCTAATTTTGTTTGCAACAATTTATGGGCCCAAAAACACCATATTCAGCTTCATCGGAAATTTAACAAAAAACTTATGTCTCAGGGTGACGGGCACAGTGGCAGTGCCCCCTAGATCTTTGCGATTTTAAGCTCTGAGTGGCACTGGACAGGCGTGTAGCTTGCCACCAGGCGAACGGCTTGTTCGTCCCGTCACTTGATATTGTGAAAAAAAATCTTGAAAGAAACATGATATGCTTAACGTATATATGTATCTACTCAAGAAGACGTTTTAGATTTTCACTGAAAACGCGTATCTAAGGTAAATACGTGTGTATGTCAACCCAGATGCGCCACAACACTAGCCAAATATTGGAGTTCACATTTTATTTACCTCTTCCAGTATAATAACGCACTGCACTAGGGAATCCCTGTATCGCTGGTGCCATGGACAAAATCACAAATTACACCCAAAAAAAAATAAATGTAGGCCATACATATATGGCCTACAATTATTTCACTCGTGAGTTTGGGTGTAATTTGTGGTTATCTATTTTGTGTGTCCATGGCACCCGCGACTCAGGGTTTCCCTATGGCGGGGATATGTTGAGTGTGTGCATTATTATTATTATTATTTATACAGACTTCATCACGAATATTGCTTGGCAATGTTTACTAACTGTAAGTGTAACTTTCCACCAGATTTGTTCGCCCGAGGCATCGCTTTCAGTGGCTCGGCGTTCGCAGAGTGGACTCACCAGCGCAACCCTACTATGAAGGCTAAGGCGCTAGCTGCAGCCGTCGGGTGCCCGACGTTGAGTCACAGAGAAATGGTCGACTGTATGAGATATCGTAACGCGGATATGCTTGTCGCTGCACAGACTGACTTAATGGTAAGATTCATATTCCTCTAGTCTATCACTGGTTTTAAATAGATAGTAAGTTTCAGGATATAAAGACAGTTAAAATCTTGTTCTGTACGTTTATTTGGAGTATTCTGAAATATGCCTCACAGATTTGGAACCCGCAATAAGAGTGTACATTTCACGCATAGAACGCATTCAAAATCGATTTATTCGTTATCTATGTTTCCGTATTAAACGCCAATATTTTAATATATTTAATAAACGAAAATTATTTGCATATTTGCAAAATCCATCCTATTCTTCCTCATTATATGCGTCGTCAAATAGCCGATTGCACATATACTTATATTTTAAAAATAGCTCAGAATACAATTGATTGTCCTGAAGTACTGTACATACTTAATGCTGGAGTTGCCACAGCCAGAGGGTTACTCAACAATTTTTTGTTTAATTCTTAGGAAAGTAATATATAAATAAATATATATATTGTGATGGGTGTGTGTTTCCATCATAGTTTTTGTTTCCGTGACTTTGTAGGCAGGTGTTTGTATTTATTGAATTTTTGGTACGTAGTACAAACAATTTAATATCGAATCTACAAGTTATTCTTTATAACGTACTGGTAAAACGACAGTCACGACGGGAGCCGAAGGAAGAGTTCTTCCCTTCCTTCACAGGTGGAGTCACTAGGCGTGGAACGGTAAAGTGGGAGATTTCCCGCGTTATACCACCGTGATTAGTGTATAAATACAGTAGCACAGTTTAATGTCACTTTTGCAATAATTTTTACACGTGATTTAGTTGCGGAACAGTTTGTAAACACAATTTTCACAGTTCAAAGACACACGGAGAAGGGCGCCATTTGTGATGGGTGTGTGTTTCCATCATAGTTTTTGTTTCCGTGGCTTTGTAGAAGAACAAAGTTAAATGTCAATTTGTAACTTCACTATTTATTGCATTTTTGGCACTTACTACAAGCAATTTACTATCGAATCTACAAGTTATTCTTTATAACGTGCTGGTAAAATGTGTGCACGCGCCATGTTTTTGTGGCGAGTCACGTCGGGAGCCGAAGAAAGAGTTTCCCTTCCTTCACAGGTGGAGTCACTATGTGTGGAGCGGTAAGGTGGGAAATTTCCCGCGTTATAATATATATAAATAAATATATATTTATTTATTTATATTATTATTATATTATTACATTTAAAAGTGTAAACTAAATTGACCTTCTTCACTGTCTATTTTAGTTATATTTATATATAGTTATAGTTTATCATGAATAATAAAATAAAATATGTGGCCCCTTAAAACCATATATCAATATATAAACGTAAATACTTGTTGCCTCTCCTTTCTTTTGAAGACCAATTTCAACTTGTTTTAAATGAAAACAAAATTCCTTCTTTTGTAATCAAGTTTAAAAACTACTCTAGTTTCGTAATTAATCGCAAATTTTAGAGTTTTTAATCATTTTAAAATGATTGTGCGGCTTACGCCGTCTTCCAAATTCCAGGAGTGGAAAGTGCACATGTTCACCCCATTCACACCCACCATCGAAGCGCCACAAGTGAGGGAGCCATTCCTGACCAGGTACCCGTACCACGCTGCGCTCACTGGAGCCATGCTTGATGTCCCTCTGATTACATCTGTCACTTCAGAAGAGGGGTTATACCCTGCTGCTGGTAAGAATTTAAGGATGTTTCCACAGCGACAACCACCTGGCCTTATAATATAAGTACACTTTTTTTCTTATCGCCCACTTAGGCAAGATAAAAAAAATTTTAACTCCTACCACTACAAAAAACAAACACGTATTTTGTATATTAACTTAACACAAAAAAATCACAACGAAGAAAACATTATGTAGTGTAGTTTATATAAATAATCACGCTTTTTTTCAAATGCGGTAGTAGTCCACTGGGGGGGGGGGGACGTAGGGACCACTTTGGGAAGATATACAAATATAGAGTCCATTCACATTGTTAAGAATAAAGATTCTTTCGAAACAACGTCGGTCAATAAAATTAGAATTATAAATTTTGTTAAATAAAACCTCTAAATTACACTAAAAAGACCTAATAAGAAATTTCCATTATACTTTTAGTACCTACGTATTTAACGTACTATAAGCACTTGGAGTCCAGGGAAAGAATTATCAAAGTCTTTCGAGGAGAACTTTACGAAAAAAGAATGTTTAATTTGGAAAACTGTTCAATGTTAGTGAAAAACACTTGCAACAATGCTACCTGATTTAAAGTCAATGTTGACATAATGTGTGTAAACTATATGTAAACTATTTTATCTAAAAAACGTTTATAAATCTTATTCAACTGTTCTATAATTTAGTCTCAAGCATTTTCTACCTAAATTATTAGCCTTTTCCCGATTTAGGCAAAACACTCAGCGTTTAATGAAATAGATGGCGGTATAAACTCCAAACTTGTTTTCAGGTGACTTTGGTCGTTCTTTCCTCCTAACTTTTTTTTTCAAGGATATCCATATCACCAGTGCTAACTGATCTTTCTTATGCTTCGCCGTCCTCGTGCATAATGTAGAAAAGTACTAGGAAGTCATGTTTAATGACATTTTTAGTGTATCAGACGGATCCTAAGCTCCTGCAAGAGCTGGAAGTTCGCTGGGAACAACTGTCCAGCTACATCTTTGAATACAACGACACATTGCCGCTGGAGCGTCGGCCTGAGGTTGCCAAAAAAATCAAGCAGAAGTACTTGGGTGACAAGCCTGTTGGACAGGAGACTTTCTCGCAACTTGTTCAGGTAAAGAACTCCATAATTAAAGAACGTACACACTTTTTTTAAACCTTATCTTAAAAATTACCGACCGGCTTCGGCAGATCTTACATAATACCAATAAGTAGAGCAAGAGCCAAACAAACCCCTATTAACATTGACTTACAAATAAATGGACGACGGGTCTAATACAAAAACCACGAAAAAAATGTCCCAAGTCAACCTATTTAAACGTGGTGTAAAGGAATATGAACAAGCTAAAACGTTGAATTTAAATTGTAATGTTATCGCACTACTGTCTAATTTTGCTTGCTTCGCTGTCAGTTGAACAAACGAAGACTAAAGCGTGAATGACGCTCTGTATACGATTTTAACGCCCTATAAATTCGGACACTTTTTAGCGCGGACCCGACGTCCACATAATTGTAAGTCAATGCCTATTAAGTAGATATTACAACTAGAAATGCTGAAGTCAAGGGATCTTTTTAACCATCAGGCTCTAGGTGACCGTCTATTCGTAGCGGACGTGGGCAAATTAGCCCAGGTGCACGCGATGAAATCCGGACAACCAGTGTACGTCTACCGGTACTCATTTCGTGGCGATATGAGTCTTAGCAACCTTATGGCATTGGATAAGAAGAATTATGGTGAGTACTTATAAAAGAAATTTGTTGCAATTTATTTTTGTTTCCTGGATATAACGCGTATGAAAGTAACTTCCACGTGTAGGTATATCAACTGCCCGTAACAATAGGTATCACTTATTCCCAGTCGTCACCACTGGCACAGATTACAGAATATACCACTGGCTTTATTCCCACTGGCGACTAATGGGAAAAACACATATGTTACCAGATGGTGACAAACGGGATAAAAATATAAGTTGTTACCAGAGGTGATTTCCACTCGCTTATTTCCAGTCATCACCACTGATTTTGTTCCCACTGGCGACAAATAGGAAAAGAAAAACATGTTACCAGGTGGTGACAAATGAAATAAAAAGATTCGTTGTTACCAGTGGCGACAAATGGAATTTAAATGAAATGAAATGAAATGAAATGAAATCTTTTATTTCAGGCAATGAAATGCCCTTAGACAAAGTGTTATTAAACAATTAAAACTTAGACTATTGTTAGTACATACAGCACAAATTAACCTAACCTTATTTTATATACAAAAGAACCGATTTGATTTGCCCAATCCAATACCATAGGATTGGGCAATCAAATCTGCCTGCAATCGTTTTCAGGATGCTGTTGGGACTCTTTCTGACACGAGTCAAGAGGGAGACGATCTTTTTCCTCATCAGTGCATGAAAGCCATCTGTGTGCGCCTCAGCAAACATGCCTGACGCACTGCACCATCGTGGCAGCCCCAACAGCATCCTGAACGCGTTGTTGTACTGTACGCGTAGGGCGTTATATGCTCGCTTTGTGTACTTGACCCACAGGCCGCTCGTGTAAAAAGATTGGCTGTATGCCTTAAATAACACGATTTTTACGTCGTCTGAGCATCTTGCGAACCTGCGGGCCAGCATATTACAACGCACAGACAACGCCCTACGCTCTCTCTCTATATCCTGGTCATCACACAGGTCATCCATCAGTATGTGACCAAGATACTTCACCCTTTGCACATTTCTAAGCACAACCCCACCAAGAGCGACGGGCGGTATGTAATAAGGCTTAATTTTGCCCGCCTTGAAGACCATAATCTCGCTCTTGGCAAAGTTGTACACCAGACCATGTGCATTCGCATAGACTTCGCACCTTTGCACCAGTTCCCTGAGCGCTCCAATGGACGGACTCAGCAGCACCATGTCATCGGCGTAGCTTATATTGTTGGCGCACATGCCTTCAATATGACAACCCGCATGCATACTGCTGAGCCCAGCCACCAGGTCATTTATGTACCAGTTGAACAGCGCCGGAGACGATAAGCCCCCCTGCCTCACCCCACACTCCATCCTGTATTCATTGGACAAGGCCTCCGCCCATCTCACCTGGTTCGATTGATTGGGATACCAAAATTTTAAAATGTTGACACAATCAACCGGTACGCCCGCTCCCTCCAGCTTCTGCCACAAGATGTTATAATTGACTCTGTCGAATGCTTTTGATAGGTCCAGGAAGCAGGCGTAAATAGGTGTCTTTCTGGCCGTGTAGTACTGGACAGTATGCTTCACACACAATATGGCACTTTCCGTAGACAGCCCCGCCCTAAACCCAAACTGGGCGTCATGAAAGTTGAGCTGACCATCCAGTATGGACCATCACACACATGTGAAACATCACAGTAGTTGCCAGTGGTAACAAATGAAATAAAAAATCCCAATTAATGTTTGTTTATTGCCAACAGCGAAAGGGAATTAAATAAAATTCGAGCTTAATGTATTATTTTACATTATATATTCTAGTCTATTTCTCTATACTTTTCAAAAGAATTCCTTTTCGTTCTTGAATCAACGATATGGACCAATATAAATTGTTGAAATAAGCTGAAACGTATTAACATTGTTCACGCTTTCGTCTGAAATTATTTTTAACGGAACCCTGAATTTCCAGGTGTGAGCCATGCTGACGATGTGCTCCATATCTTCAAGTATCAAGGAATCACGGCAAATTCTGGACAGGACAAGCAGATGACTGAAGCCCTCGTTGACATGATCTACAGCTATGCAAGCACTGGGTAATTTGGGAACTACGATAGCCCTATCAATAACATCAACGGCCATTTTGGCTAGCGAAATAAAATATAAAACAGTACAATTGGATCCATCAACGATTATTATGATTATAATTCGATCAATACACACAATCTGCAAAAAAAATTAGTGTTAACTTTAACCAATGTAAACATTTCAGAACACCAAAACTGAGCAATGAGGGTCCTTGGTTGCCTGTGGTTCCTGGGTCACCAGAGATCAACTACTTGGAGATCTCGTCTCCCAGCAGTATGCACATGAAAACTAGCTCGGACTTCGGACAGCGCTCCTTTTGGGACAGCCTGGGTTTCATGGAGTATGAGAAATACCCGGGTTATACTAGAGACGAGCTGTAAATACTTATTAAAATAAATAAACTTACTTTAACGAACAATGTATATGAAATACCTACATATGATGTATAACAATAATTGTCATTATGAGCGGTTACAAACGACGACTTTTAACAGCGATGCAAACGCGATGCAATAGCGATACAGTCACTAATAGTCTATCTTTATGCACGCGCTCGCAAGGTTGCAAACTCGCGACTGCGTCGATACAAACGCGCGATTGCAACGTTACACTTGGGATTTAGTGGCGTATGCATCGATGCAATCGCACGTTTGTATTGATGCAGTCGCGCTATTGTATAAACTCTAATGTGGTCGTAAAATTAATAGCTAATATAGGGTCGTCAAAAATACATTAGTATCTCCATGGTAATTCTTTTTTATAGTATCAGGTGACGAGACGAAGAAATCGTCCACCTGATTGTAAACTACACGCCTGTCCATAACAATTGTAATGCCACTCAGAACTTTACTTCGCAAAGGATCTGAGAGGCACTGCCACTACGCCCGTCACTGTGAGACATAAGTTGACAAGTCCCACGTGCCTGTAATTTAACCAGCACCCTTCAAACCCGGGGCGCAGTAATGCTGAGCGTTACTGCTTGGCGGCAGAAATAGGTAAGGTGACAGTACTTATCTGGACGAAAACTAAATTAAATAAATGTAATGTATTTTTAAAATTTTTATTAAATATCACGATGTATTACTACCACGGGAATCAATTATTTTTTATGAAATTACTCCCCTAGTATGATAGAATTATTAATAACAAAGATCGAACTCAAAGAAAAATTCCTTCGAGCTGGCTGGATTCGAACCAGCTGCGTCCTTCATATTTCATATCGTACTAGACTCGGCCAGTGTCAGTTTTAACGGAATTATGCCACCACGGGATGCCACGCACAATAGTATATTTTTATCGAGAGACTAAAGCGAGCCAATATTTACTCCGAAGGTTTATATAAACTTTACTTATCACTTCCATTGCGAGAAAAAATAAATACTTCAATCGTTTACACTCTACATCAAAATGTAAGAACCAAACTCTGAAGATTTCCCGGTATTTTTTTTCCCACCAGACACAGATATAACAAACGCACTAACGCGCGAAAATAATATAGCGCCACCGTCTATGCGGAAAAGGCATGGAACTAAAACCGAGCGTACTACCAGGTACTACCTACTGGTTGTTTGAGTTTGTTCACTCGAAGTAAATAAAAAATTAGGTACTTTTTACTCTTTGTGGATTAAAGGATGCACTTTAGGTACTCCCGCTATGTTTGGCTACGTTGACGTACTTTTAGAGCATGAAAGTGAAAACGTTATTTTTTAAAGCTACCTACACTCCCGGATACATAATTCGAGTCATCTTGAACCTACCAGAAATTTCTCTATAAGTGCGTCACGAATTTCGTCACTTTATTATTGGGGATGCGAGTATGACAAGTTTAATACCAAATAAATATACAAACACCTATAGTCCATCTGTTTAGGTACTTAACTAAATGTAAACAATCTTGATACATCTTTTTATTGAAACATGCTTTACAAATCAATAGGTATAAAAATAGGCATGCAATTTCATATGAAGCTAAGTATTTGTATTTTGTATGTGAAGGTAAGGGAAAATCATTTTATAAATGTATATTTCATTAAATAGACATCTCAAGATTGTTTACATTTAGTTAAGTACCTAAACAGATGGACTATAAGCTAGTCTTTTATTTACATAACTGTGCCTACAAAATATCTTTTTTTTTATATATAGTACCAAGTGACGGGGCAAACAAGTCGTGTGCCTGGTGGTAAGCGACACGCCTGTCCATAATAGTTGCAGTACCACTCGGAGCTTTAAGTTGCAAGGATTTGAGGGGCACTGCCAATGCGCCCGCTACCCTGAGACATAAAGTTGGCAAATCCCATGTGCCTATGTCACCATTTAAAGCAGGAACGCGGTACTGCTGAGCGGCAGAAATAGGTATGGTGGCAGTACTTCCCGCGACGAATTCTTTAAATTGTCAAATAATCCATTGAAACAATGACCAACAATGGCGGCAAGTAATTCCGCCATTTTCCGAAGTTCTTACAAAAACTTGTAGGTAAATATAGCAATTAAAAAAACAAACGGTTAAAAAATACAAATTTAATGTAACAACACACCATTATACATCCATTAGTCCATAAATTGGATTATCCATGATACTGGATTTTATACTCATAAAAATTAAGTGTTTCCCCTAACACCTAAAATAAATAGCCAAAGCAAATACAATTACCAAATAAAACAAAACTGATGTTAAAAATGCATGTTAATGAAATCTGACTATTGATTCCTGGAGTAACTTATGTATTAAAAACATACATCACTTGTTACAGTCAAGAGCTAATCAAGATTGACACTTCATACTTTGACGTATTTTTACCACTAGCAACAGAGTTGAATTTAAATCCTAAGTGCCAAGCTTGACATGCTCTTGACCCAAGCTCTTAAAAACACGCCAAGCTTGACACTTTGGACCTTTCTTAACACAAGTGGCATAGAATTTAATTAAGTGTCAAGCTTAACCATGGACATGCACTCACCACAAACACACACAAAAATCCAAAAGAATTTAGTTTTTCAATATAAACAAACACTACTTTAATTACCTACAAATTATAATAGATAACACTCCCTTGAAATACTTCAATATTAAAGGTAAAGTGATAACATTGGACAGTTTATTAAGTGAACAAATAATAAAATACCATTTGACCTTATAACTACATACATGAAAACTTTAAATTTCTAATTGATCTAAGAACAAAGTAAACATGTTAAGCCTTGATCTTTGGACTCTTAGTTGTAATTAAATGTGCCAAACCCCTCCTATATTTGTTATTTTTATATATAATAATATAATGCTGGTTGAAAAGCACACAGATAAAAGTTGAAATCTGTTCGAATTACATTAAAATTTTGAACATTTCACAATCATTGAACATTTTTATTTATGAATCACATACATCATTCTATATTTCAAAGTCACAGCAACATGATTAGTGATTTTTTTTAATATATTTTTTTAGATTGCATAGGGTTATCTTTAACAGATTAAGGCTTACAATAATGTGTATTTGCAAGCATATATTAATTTGATGATTCACAAATAGAAATTCAGACCTTAATTTGACAGATTTATGGCTTATTCATCTTTTTTGTCTCCCGCAGCTATTGTGAGCTTCTTCTGTAGTTTGCTATGTTCCTCAGCTAGTCGGTCATATTCTTTGTTCAAGCTCTCAGCCTGAGACTTCACAGCCTCTTTGTCTTTCTTCTCCCTAACAAGATCTTTCTCTAGTTGTGCAATCTGAGCCTTTAGGTCAGTGACCTCCTTCTTCACAACGTCTTCGCCGGCACCTTGTTTCTCCAGCAGACTCCTAGCCGCTACAGTTGCACTTTGCGCTTGACGGAAGTTTGCTTCGGATCGCGCTAGCAGTGCTGCAAGTTCCGAAATCATTTGCACCAATCGGCGGATTACAATCAGTAAGAAAAGTGCAAAGCCAGAAATGTAGAAATTTCTCTGCGCGCGGAACAGCCGCATGTTACCTTGCATCTCTGCATCCAAGTGTTGATGTTCCGTAGGTTCCATATTTGAGTACTTCTGCATCTCCCTGATAGCGTCTAACAGACATAATACCAGCACTCCAATTAGTATCAGGAAGTATACCGACGCCTGATTGCTTATATAAGCCAGGAACTTCGACTTGAAGAACTTCTGCCATCGCGAAGGGCTTGCGATCGGAAGGGTAAGCAAGAGCACGAACGCTATTTCAGCATAAAGAAATGTAGCAATAATCGTCCACTGAAGACTCATTGTGAAATATTATTAATATTTTAGACTTCGAAACGTCAACCGACACCGGCAATCACACACACTTAATGATGGAATATTTGATAAAAATGCAGTAACTTTACCAGAATATCGGTGACTCATAGATTAAGAGAATACAAATACAAAAGTCAAAGACCACGATGACGTATGACGTGTACCAATCACAAACAAAAATAAATAATTATAAAAAATGCACTCGTTTAAATTTCACCTAAATATCAATTTATTATTATTTATTGCAACAATGAACTGGAAAATATTATTGGAATTATTTTTTAAATTAATACAGGAGAAGCAGACAAATTAGTCTGGGGGAAAAGAAATGTATTTTGGTTCGCTATCGTGTCGCTCTGTCGCTCATTGTAGAATGGAAAACAAAGACAAAATCATACAAAGTTAACAGCAGTTTTACTACGCTATATAGTAATAATTAGCAGAAAACGGTTAACTGAAACAGCCGTGACAGCTTGTCAGCCTTTGTTGACAGATTAATAGAAAATTAAGTTGATTAAAGTGACGTCATTTCGTTTCATTTGTGTAAAATAAGTTGCTCTAAAAGTTCTAAACAAATCAGGAATTACAGTGCACTTCAATTTGCAACTATAATGGCCGATCCTAAATATGAAAATCTACCCGGCATTGTAAGTAGAGAGCTAATAAATTATGTATAAGTCGTACTTTTATGAGAGTAGTTGAGGTTGAGCATTGATTTTATTCTTTACGTTAATATTTCAGGCGTATGATCAGCCTGATATATACGAGACGGCAGATCTGCCGGAGGCGGACCAGCCGGAGCCAACCGAAGAGGAGGAAAACGAGTGCATAGAGCAATTACACCTTTCAGTAAAAGATTCCTTTAATAAGTTTAAGGGGAAATTCTTGACTGGAGCCGTGGATTTCTCGGACAGACTGAGTAGGAACTCTAGAATTGGATATAGGTAAAGTGTTCACCACCAAAAAACTCATACATAATGTCAAGTTCTTAGGCTTTCGCGATTGTTACACATAGGAAATGAAACTATTTTTCCGGATTTAAATCGCGTATGTTTGTTTTTTCGAACAAACCGACGTTTCGGGCCCTTTACATTCAATGACAAACCCCTGGTCCTTGCAAAAGAAGTCCGTTATCTACCCAGGATGCTGCGAGAGGCCATTGAAATTAAAAAAACATCCTAATTTCAACAGGGAAGATGGTTTCTCCGTACCACCAGTTTGGGGTCCAGTATTTCCTCTAATGAAAAATCCCAAACAGACATAAGACTGCAGTACTAATTAATATGTTTTAGTTTATTCTAATTTCTATTAATAGTTAATAATAAATTGAACTTAATAAAAATTCATTCAATAAAATAATTTGTAAAACTTAATATAGCGTAAATTGGAATGTTTTCTTTGTAAAATTAAAAATAAGGTATTTAATTAATAACTATTGTAACTGTAGTGAAAAAATGGGGTGGCTTGCATCAATATTAGACATAACTGGTTGAAGACTGTACCACCTCAGTCAACTGTGACCATGGGACCTGTAAAGGGCCAGAAACGTCGGTTTGTTTGAAAAAACAAATATACGCGATTTACATACGGAAAAATAGTTTCATTTCATACATAATGGTTTTATTAATTATAGACAAGTGGAAACACTTGCATTAGCTACACCTATATATAACCTGTGACTCAAATAGCAATATAGTAGTCCCAGAAAAGACAAATTTATTTATTTATTTATTTACAATATTGTACCTCTTACAGGGCTGGGGAATGGGAGCTAGCAGCGGAGGGCGAGCCAGAGACACTCCTGGAACGCTACAACCGTCTACGTTGCGAATTTTCTGAACTGCTGGAGCAGGTCGCTGAGCAACAGAACAGGGCTACAGAAAGTGAAAAGGTTTCTATTAAATTTTGAAACAATTTTAAAAATGCTTAAACTTACATATTCCATAACATGTCTCACTTCTATATCTCTTTATCTGAAATTGAACAGTTTTATATTTTCAAATACACTACCTACTTATTTAAAAATTTATGTACAGCACATATCAATCAAACATGTTTTACTTTTGTTTTACTGTCACACTGCAAACTGTTACAACACTAGAAAGATAATTAGACCAAGTAAATAATTAGTCTGCTTATTTAACTGTTTCATAATATAAGTTTTCTACCAAACCATAAAATATTTTAAAGATAAGTTTAAAGTATTTGTTTATGTTTCAGGATGAATATTCAAAGTTGACAGCTCAAATTGGCACTACAAAGAAGTTATTGGAAGAACTTAAATTAGAGGAAGGGGAACAAGTTGATCCTAAGGCTGAAAAACTAAAGTGAGTTTAATATGAAAGCCTGTAAATAATAGCATACTAAGATTCTGTATATTTATAAATTGTGTATATAAAGTGGGTTAAATTTATATATAAAGTATGTATTTAAAATGGGGTGCAACTGAAAACACAGTCCATTGTAGTAGTTTATGTGACTGTTACATAATGAAAGGCATTAAAATACGAGTGAGGGCTTATGAAACGACAGTTATATATCGTCGGTTAAAAGGTAAAACTCATTAAGTGACATTTTGTTCAAAAACTAGATTTTTTCAATTTTGCTTTATTGGGAAGAACATCTATGACAAGAAAAATTCAGTAAGTCTGTGGTGTCCTTCATGTTTTAATACATACCAGTCCTTTAGTGATTTTTCATAATGAAAAAATACAAAATCTTAATTATCTCCCTTTGGCCAATTAGGCTATTAGTGAGTTTTACCTTTTAACCGACGATATGTACACTGCTTTATCTACACAGATATTATATGCTCTCTGTGATGTGTTCAGGACCTGCAAGTTTCAACTGGCGAAATAAAAACTAAACCGTAGCTTTTATTTTTAATTCATAGACAAACTAGAATCGACCCCAACTATCATATCGTTCGATATCGAGTAACTTGTGAAATTGTCAAAACTGTTCGATATTGACATTTCATTTCAAGTAAAACTTCATCTCGACTGATATTAGAATTGAGGTCCAATCAAATTGTTTTGTTTTGCAGAGATGTTCGAAATTTGAATGTAATAATAACATCAAATTTGATGTCATTATGAAGGAATAATAACATTTTCACAGATAAGAAATTTGTTCTAACAAAATAGTTTACCTTTATGCTGGTCACACATAGAAAGTTTATGATATGTTTCTTTCATCTTTAAGATGTTTATTTTACTCTTAAAGACCAAACTTCATCTCCGTAGAGGAAGAGTGGAAGGTGAGGGCATTGCATAAATCAGAACTCAGTTTACTTGGATAATCTATGTTGAGTTTTCAACAGCAGATCTGTTAATCATGCACTGTCTTCAATTTCCTTTTCTAAGCAACCAATTTCCCAAAATAGTATACTGAGGTACACACGCCAGCACATCAAGCTACACATTGACGTGTCTTGTTCCGTTGCAATGGAGGCAATTTTCGTACAAAAATGTGTCATCCTCCGTACATACGTATAGCTCCTTACTGCTATATGAATAAATAAATAATAATCATTAGACAACATCACATATGTTGTTTTGATCCCAAAATAAGTGTACATACATACGATAATGACGGTACCACAGACCCGAGACAATATAGAAAAGTTAGTTTTCTACATTGACCCGACCGGGGATCGTACCTGAGACGCCAGAGATGGCGACACGATAAAACCGATGTGCAAACCACATGACCATAGAGGTCATCTAAATGGTTTTATGTCTATATGGTTTTGTACAGTTGTGTATTTTATGCAGACAGTAATTAAACTGACCCTCTATATTAACAGAGAGTACCTGGCAAGTAGTGGCAATAAGAAGAAGAAAGGCGAAGTGGTTACAGCACATCTAAAACTGAAACCCGAGGTGAATCTAGTACAGACCACAAGAATAGCACAGCTGGAACATAGGTTTGTTTCTAATCCTTTTTTTAATGCCCTCATTCTGGAATGCCAATTTAATCGTGAACAATCTCTGTAGGTTACATAAATTGGAACAGGCAGCTGGAGTAAGAGATGAAGAGGCATTCCGGAAACTACAGGCAGCTACAGGAAAGGTATGGAATTGCCATTGCCGAAAAACGCATTCTAATTATAATTTTTAAGTTTATCGAATGTCATGATTTTTAATATCGAGATATTTAATTCCTTTGGTGAAATTACGGCACTACTCTACACTATGTGAGAAATCTATTTCTTCATTACCAGGTACTTTTACAGCTACCAGCATCTGACTAGAGTAATTTCACAAAAATAATTAAATATTTTTGATCAAACATCCTGACATCTCTATTCAGCTGCTAGTTGCTGTAAACATTTCTTACAGATGGCGCTTCGGCAAAAAAGTAGTTAAAAACCAAAAACAAAGGGGACCTTTGAATTAGTTTTACGCACCATTAAACTAATTGAATGTCCAAATAGAAACGCTAGTAGAAGTTACTAGTTACTTAGTATTTTATTATGATACGAAAACTTCATTTACATCAAGCATTACCCTTAAGGCTCAATTTATATTGCGGCGGAACGGAATGGAATGAAATGGTCAATTGTGTAACGTATAAGCTAGATACGAGCCGAAAATCAAATTGTGCGTCTTACGCGGAATGCGCTAGGCATTCGCGAGAATTCCGCAGCTGCCGTCGGCAACGCGTGGCGGATTCGCGGGAAGTAGCGCGAAAACCGGCGCAGTGTGACGTCAAACATCAACGAAATACTACAACGCCTCAAGGCGCAGTCGAAGGAGGCGAAATTGACGCTTCCATGCCATTCCGTTCCGCCGCAATGTAAATTGAGTCTATACAACCTCAAATGGCTTTGGTTGATTCCGCATAATATTGACAGCGTTGAATCAATCACTGGAAGAATATTAGTAAGATTGAGGTATACACTGATTACTTTACGGTGTGAAAACACGCTTCCAAAAAATTTTCACGATAGAGAAACTTACCTCGGAAATTGTATAAGAAAACCACTGTATTCAATAGGTACTTTGCATATACCAATGATTTTCTTTTTTATATCAACTAAACTAAATGGAACGCGTATACATATACGTTTTTCAACTGGTTTTAATTTGATTTGTAAAAATATTAATTCTGAAATAAAGCCAGTGTCGCTCGAGTAAAATGAACCGTATTAGTACAGGAACAAATGTAATTCGAGCTAAGGTAGTATAGACTCGTAAACAGCTGTTCGGTTCCCACAGGCGACGCTGTGTGAGGCGGCGGGCGCTCTGGCGGCGCAGGCATCGCTGCTGCGGCCGGCCGAGCTGGCTGCGGCCGACGCGCGCTTGGCTTCACTCCTCGCTAACGTCGACGCTTTGAAGCAGGCCATTAAGCCCAACCCCGACCTTGATGCCAAGGTGCCTAATGACACTATAATTTTGCAGTCAAAATCAATTGTCCATATTCGTAATTAAAAAGTAACATTTAAATTGGTTCAGTACAAATTTTGAGTGTGAATATTCCAATTCACTGACGATTTTCAGCAGTTGAAACAAGGCAGCAACAGGGCAAGCCATGTGGATCATAAACTAGACCCATTCCCCCATCCGTAGACCATGCTAAAAAGCTCTACCTAGAGACCTTACCATGTCGATACTTCCAATGAACACTTTATTTTTTGGGCATTTTCTGTTATTTTTCTAAAAAGCTATTTTTTATTTACTAATATTAAGCACCCCGAATTTTATGAAGAAAAGAAATTTTGTCATGAAAAAAGAAACAAATGACAAAATAAAAACAGAACATGTCCAAAAGTTTATTTAGCATAGTGTACATTGGAGGTATCCGTGTGGTTGTGGTCAGTCAGAGTGTGGAGAACAGAATTACGAAATTATCTCCAAGGTCGCAACCCATCACACCCAGACCAGAACCAGCTTATTAAGTCATCAAGCTTTGGTCACTACTAACCGAGGTTGTCTGATGTATTATTTAATCACCAATAAAAAACACTGTTATTTCAGGTGAACGAACTATACAAGCTGTTAAAGCAAATAGATGGTATATCGCATTCCGAAATCCTCGAGCGCATGGAAGCTCTAGAAGCCTTACATAATCAAGGTAAGCTTGCCATGTTTAAAATGTAGATTTTTTTGTCAGTTGCGGCGCTATTGGTGAAAAACAAAGCCATTTCATTAACTTGTAGCTCAGAGTTCAGAGACAAAGAATTAGTGCTCCTCCATCGTAAAAAAATGACATAAAATGTATTTACATTTTATGTCATTTTTTTACGAAATCAGCCACTATTTCGGTAATCCTCGGAGTAGTGTTCACTACGTAATTTCCGTGGCAATTTTTATTATTTAAATATTCAGTATATTATCGTACAATTATTAAATAATATTTCACGATACAATACGCCAATATTAAATACTATTGCACCTTAAAAATTCGAAATATGCTTATTAATTAAATATATGAATAATTAAAGAATACCGATTTTTCAAAGTGAACGGCTCACACAGCCTTTATGTCTATGGTTTCTCAAACATTTTGCTGTATATTTTTATGTTCTTTCTTATTGACAACGATTTTTTTTCATGTTCCATAGCAAGCAACTTTGGCAAGTCGCTGACCGAGCTAGAAACTCTACAGAGTACAATCGCCAATGGGGTGCAAAACAATAAAGAACTTTTGCAAGGCGTACAGGAAGTGTTTGCACTCAATGTTGACAGTCTACAGAAAGAAATTAAGAAGCTGAACGAAAGGATCACCAAGCTCGCTTCTGCGTGAGGATATGACTGTATAGCTTTATTATCTGTTTGTATTCATGTTGCAAAGCTATCTACAAAGTGTAACAAAGGTTCCTTCAATATTTCTGCTGGTAATCGAATCACTTAATTGATGACATAAACTTCCCCGTTACCGTGACATAATATGATCATCAGCTAAAAAAAA